AAGAACTGTTTACATTCCTACATGACCTCACAGATGATAGTGGCACCAGCACACATGGGGCCACACATGCTTCCGCCAACAATAAAGTCCCTTTCTTGGTCAATGATGATGCCCCTTCTCTTGGTCGGTAATGAGGCCTTTTTTTTTTGTCAGCAATGGTGTCCTTTCTTTGTCAATGATGATGTCCCTTCTCTTGGTCAACTATGTTCAACCTAACTACTAATGACTAGTACACAATGACACAACTTTCTGTCAGCTGACGATTACTAGACTTTTGTCTCCATGGTTACCATACAACATACATACAGACCAGTTCAAACATTATCTCCTTCTGATGATATAGTTTTAATTTTAGGACGATCAAGTTCAGATCTCCAGACTTCAAGCTGGCTTCCTAAGTGCTCGACCATCAATCTGAAAAGGACACAGGACACACCAAATCCAATGTTGACATCAATATTTTCCCATAGCATTAGTGATGAAGGTCACAGGGTCATGGCGGGTGTCAACTGATACATGTTTTTAGGGCCCTGGTAAATGTATTCCCTTTAACCCTTGATGTTTACTGGCTACTCCCTTTTATATTTCTTTATATACTTAAAAAATTTTTTGTTAAGATAAATACATTTTAAACAACTTATTAGTGCTTCTTCTTTTTTAGCCACTTTTGGGGCAAAAGGACAGAGACATTTAAGAGGCGGCTGGAAACAAAAATGTAAAAACCTGTGAAACAAATGATTATAATGGCAAAGACAAGTCTCATATAAGGATGGCACACTGTTTTTAAACACATGTTCTCACAGTGGTCAGTTGTCTGGTTGCTTTAGAGTGGTTTACTGAAATACTCTTATGTACAACAATGGCTGACAAGCCTGTGTGAATCAAAGATGTATGTTGTGTTTTATCATTGCTCTCTTATCATTGCTGTATGTATGACCAAATGCTCACATCAAATACCCTGCTTCCATTTACCAAATGTTACTGTGTCACGTGTGTATAAATTTTATGTTAACAGATTACATGAACAAAATTAAAACAAATAATCATGTGTTTATAAATGAACAAAATAAAAATAAAGCAGAGGTTAAAAAGCATGCAATATCTATCTAAATCATAAACTGTTACAACACAACTGATGTACATACTTATGTGACCAGAAATAATCTACACAAAAATACCAGCAATCATTGCAAGTCCTAGTACAGTTCTGTAGACTTTCATTTTTCCATCCGTTTATCAACACTTTGAAGTCCTTGCACCGTGGCTCAGAGATGTTTAAAGTGTTGTCATTTGTGGCTGTGCTCGTCACAACTAAATAATAGGCTGCTGATCAAATGTCCAAGTTGTGCACATCTTCACAGTTGTCCGGCTAAATCTCATCACAATCATTTGGTTGACTCTGAGACAGTGGGAGAACAGACAGCTAGCATTCTTCATAATGACCTGTCACATGTTTGAAGACAATGTACGCCAGGGCTATCTATGTGGTGGCAACCTGACCCACACAAACCTAGAAAATGGCCCACAGAAGCCCAGTAAAGAGCCCACAGAGGCCTAGCAAATGGCATGCAGAGACCTAGCAAATGGCACGCAGAGACCTAGCAAAGGGTCCAAAAAGGCCTAGCAAAGGGCCCACAGAGGCCTAGCAAATCGCCCAGCTAATCATTACCAACAGTACTGTAACACTGATATTCCTATTCTGGGGATTGGGCCTTTGGCCCACGACAATCTCCATTTTCAACATTTTGGCCCCCTGAGAAAACAGCTTGATAGTCCTGATGTTTATGATCCTGAAAAGAGTACATTCTTCTGTTTTGTTCAGTCTAAAATAACATGTAATCCTGTCTTATGATTCCGACAATTTCCCATCTGATTTCTCATGTTGCTACACAATCTCTTCTTCATCTGGATAAAGATCGGGTGGTCATACTTCTCCACTAGAAGAGAAGTCAGTTCACCTCCGATTTCTCAGTTTTGTAACAATATAGACTGACATCACAGCTCAGTTCCAACAGTTTATCTCACCACCGTTTCTCACGGGACTGGGCTGGAAGAGGTCCTCTGACACAGTCGTCACAAAGCATAATAAAAGAAACCTGCTCGGGGAGTGAATTGTTTCTAGCTGCTTCCTACAGTCAAATTCTAGCCTTGTGATTGCCTAAAGCTTCTGTCTCTAAAAAACTCCCAGCATCACATAATCTGACCGGTTACAACAAGAACAGATGAGCAAGCAGGTTCAGGGTGGGCAGATAAATGCTAACAATGAAACCCCCACACCGTCGTCTTCCCAACAAACAAAAAATATTGCCACCGCAGATAACTCACGCGCTAGTCAGCCCAAGAGTCTCAAAAGACAATGCTACAATACCAAATACATAAACAGCAACAGCAGTAGCCCAGTAGTTAAGCATGTTTGTCTGCTGCTCCAGTAGTCAGAGATCTTAATCTTTCTTCTTCTTCTAGTTTATCTGAAGATGTAAATGCATTGTGTCAGTTTACAGCATGGCAGACACCTCTTTCAACTGCCATTTGTTGCCAGGGTTAGTCTTCCTAGGATCTGAATCTTACTTTAAAGTCCTAGGTGGACCCAGCTTCTGAAAGAGACACCAGGGACAGAAAAATGTGGTCGATGCGACTCCTCAAGTGCTGTTTGCACTACACAAATAAGCAGCCAATGCATCTGAAAGCAGGGAAACAGATCCACTGAAATACCAGACTCCTCTACTTCTGAGATGATTCACAAATAAAGAAAACTGCATAACACAGCCCAGATTTGATCCATACAACACAGAACGCTAATCTTTATATTAACTATGTTCAACATTCTATAAACTTGAAGAACATTAAAACATTATTTATTTATTATCAACACATTCTCCCACTGATACCATATCATCATCTTTTTGTTTATGCAAATATTACTGTCAAAACAAGAAAATAAAAGTACATAAAAACAAAAAACGTTTTAAAACAAAACTGCTTTTATAATACAGAAATTAATACAAACAGTGCGTGCTGTTTTTAATCTGATCCAATAACCATTAAAGAAATTATAGAATTTTCTAGCTAACTCCAACATACATTAAAATTATTTTATGTCTTTTCTATAAAGCTTTCAGTTCATTATTTCAAAAACTGACTGAATTTTCCTCTTCTTTCTCTTGTATCCAGTCATTCAGTTTTGCTGCAATATTTCAACATATGTTACTGTTTTCAGGTACGCTTTTCATAAATAATACCTTTATTGTGTTCACATTAGTACACAAATGTACATTTTCTAAACAACCATTCAAGGTTGCTACAATACACCAAATCTTTCAAACATGCTTCCTTTATCCTTGTGTATATTTTAGATTACACTTATGAATAGCAAATTTATTTATTTAGTTCAGTCTTTCACGGAGCATTCTAGAATTTAAGTTGTTTACATTACTTTAGGAACAAACATTTTGTCTGCTGACAGCGAGTTGCAACACTTGCACCTGTCGATTGACACATGCAACTTCTTGCACTTATTAAACAGGCTAAACTGCCCGGACCTATATATTAACTAACTACAACCTTGTTACATATTTTCAAAAACCAAGCAAGAGTTATCCCCACTGCCGATTCCTGGATGAAAATGCACTGGTTACACAAATATAAAAAACTATGCAAGTATTCTAGACTTTGTTGGTCAGCTGTAAAATTATGAGAAGTTTAATCTCCATTCCTGTTAGACCGATCTCCAAATGATAGTTTCTTACTAATGTTGCCAGTCCCATTATAGGCAGAATAATGTAGACCTAAAAGAGATTAACACAGTTAAATATATATTTCTTTATGTTTGCAAGAAACATTTCTCACTAAAGAATTTGTGTGCCTACAAATTAAATCATAAACCCTGCAAATCATCACTCATATCATGCTCCAGCAAAAAAGCCACTTAACCCCTTGCCTACCCCTTATCCCTTGCCTACCTTTTATCCCTTGCCTACCCCTTATCCCTTGCCTACCCCTTATCCCTTGCCTACCCCTTATCCCTTGCCTACCCCTTATCCCTTGCCTACCCCTTATCCCTTGCCTCCCCCTTATCCCTTGCCTCCCCCTGTCCCTTGCCTCCCCCTGTCCCTTGCCTACCCCTATACCTACTATATTTTCTTGCTGGAGGTGTCTCCAATATTTTGTTACACTGGTAAATCCCTGCCTCTTCTCCCAGCAACAAAACCTTCCACCACCATTCTTTCTAGTCCACAGTAACCAACAAAATTCTCAACATAACAATAAGAACTCAGATGTTTCCAAAAAACATGTTTAACTTAGACTTGAAATTGTTTCTTCTGAACCCCCAGTAAATCAACAAATTTGCGGCATGCAGCATGTGATATGACCAGCTCAGCACCTACGTACAAGACAATACGCTTTAGTCTTAAATATAAAAAAACAGCAGAAGACACATGGCAGAAAACATTTCAGGAAAGACCATATACCTATATCCTGGTAAAGCATAGCAAACTATTCCTGCTCATAAAACTACAAAAAACAGAGAATTTCTCAATTCATTTGAAATGGTCTATAACACTATTGTTCTCAATTTAAAAAAACTTGAAATTGCAATTCGCTAAATGATGTCAAAATGATAAGTAGTTTAAATAACATTTGCAATTCTAATCCATGTAATAATATTTTTTCATATTTTGTTTGCGTTTCTCTGCAAATGAATTTTTTTCAAATACAAATAACAATTCAAAATTCACATAAACTTATCCCTTTTCCCCCCATAAACGATAAAATGAAATTCTTTTTTTGTAATTATAAATACAGCAAACAATTGTCAGCTTTCCTAGAAAGATGAAACACAATTTGATCTTTCATGTTTGCAGCGTTACTGTAAAGACTTGGACAAAGAGCCAGCAACCAGAAAATAAAACCAATATGATCGACAACCATGTATATATGTGAGCATGCCCTCCAGTATCTGCATACGCTGACAATCTTCATCTTTGTAGGTGACACCATCTTTACGCTGGTAAACTGATCTTCTTGCCCTTCAAAACTGTCAAAGAGAACAGAAAAAAGAAGACACTCAATATATAATTATCACAATTCATCTTAAAACAATGCAAACAGATTGGTATTCTTTCTCTCAAGGATATTCAACAGATCAATAATTCTTTCTATCAACAATTTACCCTTTTGTCCTGTAAGAGTCTTGCAAAAAAACGATAATTTGTTTCTTCACATTTTCTTTAAAAAAACGAATCCTTATAATTCTCAGAAGCTCAATTTCTACTATAGGAAACTTAAAGAACAGAAGATGAAGAAAAAGAAATGTGTAGTCATCGTCAGTTTTTATAAATACCCAGGGGGTTCGAACCCCTGGACCACCAAGAAGACAGGCTGGGGTGAACTCCTCTGCTTTTTTTTGGATATCATATCACTTTGAACAAAATATTTTTTACTTACTTAGTCGCTTCTCTTCTACCTTGGGGTGTAGAGGTTTGCCAGAGAGATCGCCAGACGTCTCCATCAGCAGTTTTCTTTCTAGCTTTGTTCCATTCCAGACCTCTGTCAGTTAGGGACTGTCGGATGTTGTCTTCCCAGCAGACCCTGGGTCGTCCTGGAGGTCTGGTTCTTAGCCTCCCATGCCTGCCATGGTGGCCGATTTTCTCCCATTCTGCATACATGTCCAAACCATCCTAGCTGTGACTGATACACTCATGTTTGTAAGGACTGGGTATCAAGATCTTGACGTATTGTCCGATTGCGGACTTTGTCCCTTCTTGTCACTTGGACCACCTTTCTCAGATATCTCATTTCCGAGGCCTGCAGCTGTCTTCTGTGAGCTGTTGTCATTGCCCATGACTCACACCCATAGGTCAGGACTGGTACATAGGTAGAGCGGTAAACAGCCATTTTCGTCCTCTTGCCAATTTCTCTTTTGCTAAGAATCCCCGGTTGATGGCCTGGAAGAGTCTCCCAGCAGCTGCTTTTCGTGTAGCCAGCTCAGTTTTAATGCCTCCATTTCGGTCTAATACAACTGCAAGGTATTTGAACTGGTTAACCTGCTCCAATGCATACTGTCCCATCATGATCTGGTGTTTCTTCTCCTCTCTTGAGATCACCATGGTTTTAGTTTTGGAGATACTGATGGTCATCCCTCTCTTTTCAAGCTCTTCCTTCCAGACAAGTAAGTTGGACTGAAGGTGTGCCTCTGATTTAGCTATCAGGGCCACATCATCTGCAAATGCCAGCTCTGATATACAGATCGGTCTCATCTTCCAGTACCCTACAGAGTACTTCTTTGTCTTCTCCCAAAATATTTTTTCCTGTCAATTAATGTCTAAATCTAGAAAAGGTTTATTTCTATGTGTTGCGAAAGTAAACATTAAATACAAATGTAGCAAAGAATTAACTGATTTACTTCCCATTGACCATACAAGTGTTTTGTGTCACTTGGCCGCAGAGAGCCATGTGACGTAATAATGAAATTATATGATGTTAAGGTGAATCCACAATTCTTAAAAATGTATTTTTTCACCACAAATAATATCTTCACAAAGTTACTGGGGTAAATGTAATCATACACACCATGTCTATACACACTATGTAGTTGCAATCAGCCCCAAAGCTGTGATACAGGAATACTGGGCTATGCCCAAAGACATCATTGTGTCAAAGCCCACAAAATCGAAAAAAAAACTGGTTTTCTCAGGATGGGAGGATTATTGTTTTCTCTCAGGATGGGAGGATTATTGTTTTCTCTCAGGATGGGAGGATTATTGTTTTCTCTCAGGATGGAAGGATTATTGTTTTCTCTCAGGATGGGAGGATTATTGTTTTCTCTCAGGATGGGAGGATTAAATAGGGTGATGTTCTGAATGTCCTGACAGCCTGTTTCAGAGTTTGTTTTCAGAGACAGCCAGTATAGGCCTCTTGCTTCCTCATACAAAAGGTGTGTATGTGTGTTTAAGACAAGCACTCACACAGAAGGGAGGGGGGGAGAGAGAGAAGGGAGGGGGGAGAGAGAGAAGGGAGGGGGGGGAGAGAGAGAAGAGAGAGGTGGACAGGAGATGATGCAATTGGCATCACATCCGCTGCTTTAAATACATCCTAAGCCTCTCTGTGTAGGTTCTAGGGACCCATTGTGGGGAAAACAAAAACAGACCCACTGCCTACCCAACAGACCCACAGCCCACCCAACAGACCCACCGCTGCCTACCCAACAGACCCACTGCCTACCCACCCAACAGACACGATGTTCAAGTAAAATAATGGACTCCTGTCAGACCTTTGGCAAATCGGGTCCATAGTAAAAAAAAAAAAAACAATGTCCACCCTTCAGGCGTATTGGACATATAGGGCTAGAACTATATTTTATAGACCTATGCGTACTCATTGGGTGATGTGCTCAACACTACACTAGCCACTTTACTTCCCAGGACTTTACCTGGTAGCCATTTTAGGAGAGGTCAATCTCAGACAATTATTGTTTATCTTAGATATTTTTCAAAAGTCACAATATGTTTAGTCGATACTGCCTACGTCATTCACGACTGTTTGTTTTGCTTCTCACCTCTATTGCCTAGCGAATGGAATACTGGTCCCCAACCTACTCTCGCCAAGCTATTCTATCTTATCTCAAAAGGCTCTCCCCGTAACTCCACACATGAATAATCTTAGATTCTAATCAACTTCTCTGTGTCTTTTTATATCTCTTTTTTCCCTGTTGGTTCCACAGTAAAGACATGCTAGATATATTACTATCAGGATTTCTAAACATGTGCCCTATCCAATACCAGAATCTTTTCCTCACCTCTTGAATTCAGTCTTCTCCCAAAAGTCTACATTAGTGATTTGCAGTAATACTTATTCCCTCTTTTATATAGGCATCAGTTAATGAATGTAGTTTATCAGTAAATGTTTTAGTTGTTCTCTGTGTTTCTGCTCCACCCAAAGTTCTACGTCTGCCACTGGGTCACAAAGATAATGTGAAATACAAAACTATCTCCTCTGCATGCATTAAACAAACCCCTTTTTCTTGTGATTACTGAAATAAACAAATCCTTTTCTTGTGATTACTGAAATAAACAAATCCTTTTCTTGTGATTACTGAAATAAACAAATCCTTTTCTTGTGATTACTGAAATAAACAAATCCTTTTCTTGTGATTATTGAAATGAACACATTCTTCTAGTAAAAAAGTAAACAAATATTTCTCTTGTTACTGAAACAAACAAAACCTAATTACAGAAACTACAAGGTTAGTTGACTTTCACTCCAGGTTTTAGGAAAACAAACTACATACCTTTCGTGATATACAGATAGAAGAAGTCACAGTACAAGATGGTCTGAACACAGCCAGCAACTACGGCTATCAAGTCAAAGAATCCCTCAAAGTAGTAGCGGTAAATCCAGTTCAAAATGTACAAGGCTCGGTACAATCCTGCAAAAGAGTAAAATATCCAAAAATATGGGTTAAGCTATCCATAACAAATATTCCAGTACATACATAGGGATCATCCCCAGGGATGAAGAGTTTGTGCAGGATCATCACCAGGGATGAAGAGTTTGTGCAGGATCATCCCCAGGGATGAAGAGTTTGTGCAGGATCACCACCAGGGATGAATAGTTTGTGCAGGATCACCACCAGGAATGAATAGTTTGTGCAGGATCACCACCAGGGATGAAGAGTTTGTGCAGGATCACCACCAGGGATGAATAGTTTGTGCAGGATCACCACCAGGGATGAATAGTTTGTGCAGGATCACCACCAGGGATGAATAGTTTGTGCAGGATCACCACCAGGGATGAAGAGTTTGTGCAGGATCACCACCAGGGATGAATAGTTTGTGCAGGATCACCACCAGGGATGAATAGTTTGTGCAGGATCATCACCAGGGATGAATAGTTTGTGCAGGATCATCACCAGGGATAAGAGTTTGTAAGGATCATCACCAGGGATAAGAGTTTGTAAGGATCATCACCAGAGATGAAGAGTTTGTAAGGATCATCACCAGGGATAAGAGTTTGTATGGATCATCACCAGGGATAAGAGTTTGTAAGGATCATCACCAGGGATGAAGAGTTTGTAAGGATCATCACCAGGGATAAAAGTTTGTAAGGATCATCACCAGGGATGAAGAGTTTGTGCAGGATCATCCCCAGGGATGAAGAGTTTGTGAAGGATCATCACCAGGGATGAATAGTTTGTGCAGGATCATCACCAGGGATGAATAGTTTGTGCAGGATCATCCCCAGGGATGAAGAGTTTGTGCAGGATCATCACCAGGGATAAATAGTTTGTGCAGGATCATCCCCAGGGATGAATAGTTTGTGCAGGATCATCCCCAGGGATGAAGAGTTTGTGCAGGATCATCACCAGGGATGAATAGTTTGTGCAGGATCATCCCCAGGGATGAAGAGTTTGTGCAGGATCATCACCAGGGATAAATAGTTTGTGCAGGATCATCCCCAGGGATGAATAGTTTGTGCAGGATCATCCCCAGGGATGAAGGGTTTGTAAGGATCATCACCAGGTATGAAGAGTTTGTGCAGGATCATCCCCAGGGATGAAGGGTTTGTAAGGATCATCACCAGGGATGAAGGGTTTGTGCAGGATCATCACCAGGGATGAAGAGTTTGTGCAGTGTTCAGAGTCACCTTGTCTATGTATCAGAGGAGACTGACACTAATGGAGGTATCCATGAACAAGGAAAGTGATCCTTCACAAACCAAAATACTGTTGCAGTGAAGAAAGCAAACTTGTAGTTTGTAAACTTGCTACACAAACTAGTTATTCCATACTGATTACTGATTTAAGAATAGACACCATAGTGTAGCTGGCATACTCACAGATGCTTTATCTCCCACAGTAAATGTCTTAAGAGGGGCACATTGTTTGTACACACGTAGGATTCTTCCTCTCATATGTCCCATTCGGTAGCACATTCGTTGCATACATATTATACTCTTCCTCTCATACGTCCCTTCTCGTCTGATCGACAGTTAATTCAAAATTCACACAACTTTACACATTTCATTTTATCTAACATTATATATTCTATCACCAACAGATAACACCAACAGATGTCGATAAACAGGAGGACTTCAATGAGCTGCTCTTTGCCGACGATCAATGCATATTTCACAGTGATAGTAAACAGCTGCAAGACCACATGAACCTACTACACGACAGTTGCCTCAAGCATCATATGAAGATCAATATTGAAAAGACAGAAGTCATGAGCATAAGTAGAGAGCAACAGACCATCGACATAAAGATTCTAGATCACAGCCTAAAACAAGTGCAAGAATTTAAATACCTGGGAAGTATCTTTACATCCAATGGTAAAATAGACAGAGAGATTGAAGCAAGAATCCAACAAGCCAACAATGTCGCATACCAGCTTGCCCCAATTTTTAAACACCCTGCTGTCCCAGCTGAGATAAAAAGACAAATTATAAATACAATCTTTATACCGACATTAGGTTATCAATGTCAGACTTGGACATTAACAAAAGAACATGAGAGGAGACTAACCACCTGTGAAATGAGATGTTTGAGAATGGCTGCGAATAAAACCAGAAGAGATCGAGTGAGAAACGATGTGATTACAAGAACTATTGGAACCATACCCATCGTTAAATTTATTGAGAAGCAAAGAATGAAATGGTTTGGTCACCTAATGAGAATGGAACCAACGATGCCAGCATCAAGAGCATACAACATGAAAATCGAAACAACAAGAGGCAGGGGAAGACCAAGAAGAAGATGGATTGAAGGAGTCACGGACAACTTGAGACTTCATAACATCACGGCATATGAAGCGACTGAGCGCGCCCTGGCTCGGTTGCTGATCATCTGATAGACTGCGACGCCTAGCGGCACAAGCAGATTTTGACAAAAGAAGAGATATATTCTATCGGTTATAATGTCGGGCTATTATGCAAGAGACCCTAACTCTGGTAAGGTGATGCAGTTTTTTTTGGGTGGGGGAGGGGGGGTGGATTTATCATACTAATAACCTGCAGTCAGTGGGAACAGCACAAGCCATACGGGTCTAAATCCTCAGGCTCATGCCCCCCACGACCCTAAAAAGTAGTAACTACAGACAGTAGCGACAGGACAATTTAATATCTTCCATTAGCATATGTTCATCAATGTTTACTCCCTAGCACACATTTACATAACTAAGCATAACAAGATAGGCAACAATTGATCAGCAGCAGGCTTCATGAACACAGTAGTTGATATGCAACTCTGACTTGTCTGTGCAACATGGGACCAACACAGCAGCTGTTACCCTGTTGTATGTCATCTGTGCAATAAACACATCCTACACTTTCTATTTTCTCCTTCTTCAGTTGTACACTCTAACCGAAGGCTTTTCATCCTTATCCTAATATTTTCCAACTTGCATCATTTACCTCACACTAACATGATTTTTCCTTTAGTATGGGTTTGTCTTCTTCTTCTTTTGTGACCCCCCATTAAGAAAACAACTGTGGTTTGCAGCTAGGCTGTGATATGCTCTGCCTTCCAGCCCAACATATACAATTTCAAGAAATATTTAATTAGTTGTCTTTTATGAGATGCTTGCTGAGGAGAAAGGGTGAACTCTTTTGTTTTTTTAACTATGAGACCCTGGGACCCACACTGGAAATTCAGTTCCAAAATTGACAGCAGTGATTTTTACCCTGGTGAAATGTCAAAGTCTAGATCTGCAAGCTACTTCTGGAATATGCAACACTCTAATTACATTCACTAAACACAAAAGACATCAATCAGTTTGACACTCAACTATAAAAGAACAATTTAATGACAGGACAGGGAGGTGTTGAACCATAGGCATTGAGGTACCAGAGCTAGGGCTCATACTAGTCAAGAATATCTACACCTATACAGTCATCGCAGACAGAGGTTCCCAACAGAGGGAGGGGTGAGGTGGGGGTCTGACCAACGCAGACAGAATCGATGTTTCCTTCTAAGTCGAAGCGCATCTGCCCGACAGGCAAACACCTACAACCTCAGCCGGACAGGCAAACACCCACAAACTCAGCCGGACAGGCAAACACCCACAAACTCAGCCGGACAGGCAAACACCCACAAACTCAGCCGGACAGGCAAACACCCACAACCTCAGCCAGACAGGCAAACACCCACAACCTCAGCCGGACAGGCAAACACCCACAACCTCAGCCCGACAGGCAAACACCCACAACCTCAGCCGGACAGGCAAACACCCACAACCTCAGCCTGACAGGCAAACACCCACAACCTCAGCCTGACAGGCAAACACCCACAACCTCAGCCAGACAGGCAAACACCCACAACCTCAGCCAGACAGGCAAACACCCACAACCTCAGCCTGACAGGCAAACACCCACAACCTCAGCCAGACAGGCAAACACCCACAACCTCAGCCTGACAGGCAAACACCCACAACCTCAGCCTGACAGGCAAACACCCACAACCTCAGCCAGACAGGCAAACACCCACAACCTCAGCCAGACAGACAAACACCCACAACCTCAGCCAGACAGGCAAACACCCACAACCTCAGCCAGACAGGCAAACACCCACAACCTCAGCCAGACAGGCAAACACCCACAACCTCAGCCAGACAGGCAAACACCCACAACCTCAGCTAGACAGGCAAACACCCACAACCTCAGCCAGACAGGCAAACACCCACAACCTCAGCCAGACAGGCAAACACCCACAACCTCAGCCAGACAGGCAAACACCCACAACCTCAGCCTGACAGGCAAACACCCACAACCTCAGCCAGACAGGCAAACACCCACAACCTCAGCCTGACAGGCAAACACCCACAACCTCAGCCTGACAGGCAAACACCCACAACCTCAGCCTGACAGGCAAACACCCACAACCTCATCCGGACAGGCAAACACCCACAACCTGTGAACAAATAAGCAAGATTCTGCACAAAAATGTGCATGCAAGTCCTAGGACAAAACCAAAGTCTAGGAGTGGATGAACCGTCAGGACTTTCCACCAGAGTTTGCAGCTGGTGAAGGTGCAGACAAAGATGACAGAACTAAGTTACAAATCAAAAGCAGTATTGTCAGCAGACACTGGAAGCGTACAGGACATACAATGCCAGCCTTATATTTTCATAACAAACTTGTTCATGAACAAGTTTTAAGTCTCCAGGAGTGTATCGCACAATATCAAGCAGCACACAACAAGTGTTCTCACCCAAAGCAAACAGGTAGTGTGAAGTGATGGTTTCAGCTTCCCCAGTCTTGCTCATCATAAACAGCTGCGGCAGGATGGCCACGGATTCCAGATAAATTGAAAAAGTCCACAGAATCTGTGAAAGGTAAATGGTCACACAAAATGACCAAATCACCAAGAACAAAATAAACACAGACTCCAGGCAGACTGAGGAAGTCCTTTAAATCTATGTTTAAAAATTGCATACAGTATAAACCTTATTGTTAACAAATTCTAAGGGAAAGAAACAAATTCCAAGGGATCAAATAATTTATGTTCAAATTTTTTTTTTGGAAGGAAGGGGGGGGGGGGGGGGGCTAAAAATTAAAACTTCACTGATGGGATCACAATTTTGTTTGTGTTAACCGAGTGTTCATCTTAATTCTTTATGGACCAGATGCCATGTAAGTGGCATTCAAATCCATCATGTTAAGACCGTTCACCACTATAGTGGCTCTTCATAGAGATGCTCTAACACTGTTTTGTTTGCTGGAAAAACATGTCTTGAAAAAAATACAATTAGCAAGTCCTTTCATTTTTGAAGTTTGGCATGGTGTTTGGACCACAATCTGATTTGTTTTTAATTAATCAGATGTGATAAAATGTTTATGCTTTTTTCCAGACCGAATGATAGGGAAACGGTATAGAAATGTTCATACTACTCTGTCGATAAATCTCCCCCAGACAATGACAGCAGTCTTGATATTATGACTGATAATGCATCTGCCAAATCTAGGGCCGATAATATAGGTTAGGATGAAGTTGAAACAAATATTTTAATCTTCTTCTTCTTCTTTGCGTTCGGTTTCGTATGCTCAGATCAGACCATCAGGAGGGTTGCCTCTATGAACTCGCATGTCAGCTGCAGGTCCTGCATGGTTCCCCATAGCTTGCTCTGCACACTCTGCTCTTGAGGCCAGGTGTCTTTTCAAAGTTGCAGGTAGAGTGGGCAGGTCTGCAGAATGTGCTGAGGTGTTTGTGGTCCTGTCTGACAGGCACACTGTGGGGACTGCAAATCTTTATTTTATGCATGTGGTAGTTGAGCCTGCAGTGTCCTGTTCGTAGACGGAAAATTGTTGTATGTTGCTTTCTGTTGAGTCTGCTGATAGGGTCTTGTGGATGTTTACTGTTGGTTTGTTCTCTCCACAATCCTTGGTATTTTCCTTTGATAAGTGTTTTGATTTCTGGTAACGACAATGAATGGGCGTGTTGTTTCTTCTTTGTTCCATTTTTTGCAAGTTTGTCTGCTAGCTCATTTCCTGGTATGCCGCAGTGAGCCGGGATCCACTGGAGAACGATTTGATTGTTTTATATTTTAATCAAATCATCCCTATTCCATCAGCTATGTCAGGAATTTAGTTGTTGGGAAATTTGACGTCACACAAAAATCATCACAAAATCCAAAGTATTTAAATTACCTGTTTCAAATGAAGACTAGCTGACGCATCAATGAACAGAGGAGGCATGTGAATTCTTACCATTGGACAGCAGTGTTGTTGAACAAGTAAAAAGTAAGGTAAGCATGTGTAAAATAATCTTCATATGTGTCTAACATCCTTGAATGTTGTGGGATTTTAATGATTTTATTTTTGTGGTATTGATACTTAAATAGTTTAGATTTATTCTGCATTCATTTCTCTTTCATTTGATACATTATTTATCCCTACACAGCCAACACTGATGTGAAAGTGAGGAGAGGTAAGAGAGATAGGGGAGAGTGCGTGGATGGAGAAAATATGAGGAGAAAACCCCCATTTACATAAACTACCCCAGGAACTACCACACTCTTCTTCTATGTTTGGCCTTTATAGAGGGCAGTTGATCTGTTGTGTTTAACAGCTAGTCTGTAATATCTTTACTTTTCAGCTCAACACATCCGAGGCCAGCAAATCCCTAATTAGTCGCACTTTATAACATGCTTATTGGGCAGCCAGTGGGTCTATTCTGTTTTCCCACCAAAATGGGGTTATGGAACCCACGTTGGAAGAATCATTACTGTTTTTATGATTTGTTTATTTCTTAGGCATAATGCACAACTGACAGTACAAATTACACAAAATATAAGCACATACCTCAAGAGGGGCAAACTCATGATTCACTAAAAATGCCAGGCCGCCGACAGGGACCACCAAAAATTCAACACGGAACGTGTCATGATTAGCATCATAGGTGGCTCGAAACTTGAAGTACATCAAGTAGACGGTCAGAAGTGAGGATGAGATGAAGAATATCTTCATGGTGGAGTTGTACAAGGAGATGAATGTAGAAAACAGATCCAAATATCTGGTCAAAAACACCAATGCAAACAGGATCTGACTTTTCCCTGATATACCTGTTGGGAAAAGAAAATGTATGTGTTAACAATAATCTTTTTTTTTTTTTTTTTTTTAACGTATCCAGAAACCATGAGTTGTAAACCCTTTGGCTCGGTACTATGGATATCGCAACCCTTCGGCCTTGATTCCATTATAGGTACCGTTAATCTGGGAGAAATATGGCTTTTCTGCCTACCCCCGGGAGTGAACCCGGACCACAAGGAGTTCGTCACCCGGCCGCCGCGAAAGTCAGGTTTAACTAACTTCGCTAGAGAGCCGGGCAACAATAATCTAAGATAAGACTAAAGTTAATCACAAACAAGAAACTGTTTTTGTGTGGTGTCAAGTCCTGGGCCTTCACATATTCTAGGCTGTGGTTTAATGATGCTGAGCAGCCAGTTTCCTTACTCATCACATTTCCAAGCTTGACAACTCTTTGAAAATTTAGAAATTTATTTTATTCCAGTCCTGGAATAACATAAATGCAAAAGTACAACATGTGAGATGAGATGTATTAGAAATGCAGTGAGAAAAACACAAAGATGTTGTCAGCAACCAAGAAAACTTGTAGGAATATTACCAGTAAATAATTTAACACAAAAGAATCAATTGGTCTGGTCATCTGGTAGTAAACGGTTTTAGATCCTAAAAATTCAGATGAATCTGTACAAGAAAATCATCTAGAATTGATATCATCATCGCAAAACACTTCTGCCGTTGGGCGTCGTGAGGAGGAATGATCTGCGACCGAGTGCACGCTAGCGGGTACTGGCTACTGTCATGTCGTGAAGGCATATAAAGTGTCTTTAACGTTGTTTATCTATATTTTGTAGGTTGTCCTCTTGCAAGGTGTCATTCCCACAATCTGTATGATAGTATCATTATTCACACAATCTCAGATGGTTAGGCTGGCAGATTTTCTCAGGCATCTCATCTCGCAAGAAGTGATTTTGTGTACATGGGCTTTAGATAGTGTCCATGTTTGGCATTGGTAGCTTAATGTTTAATAATTTTTTTTTTTACGGGTGCCACGATAGCGCAGTCGATAGGAGGCTCACTTTCAAATCCAGCTGCGACTCGCTGCAGCCTCGGTTGGTGTTCGAAACCGGGCAGTTCCCGGGGTTCACCCAGCCTTTAGGAAATGGGTACCAGAGTTGACGCTCTGGGGTGAATGGAGGAACGCTGCTGTAGCTATGAAGTTACATGCGGATGGCGACACAGGCGGACAATTTCTTATTAGCTGTCCGTACTGGTGGCAGAGCACTTATGGTTTATAACTGTGTGCAATGAGGCTGGTTCACATCTCCCAACTTTACCTTTTAGAAATCAATACACTGTTTATAATTACCAAGAGTTACTATAGACACTCTTAAATTGCATTTTACGTTAATGTAAACCAAAGATCAAGAATGAAGAAGTCAGTAAGAAAAATGAAGTGCATAAGGAAACTAAAAAATGTTAAAGATAGGGTGAATTTTGACATAAAGGATTTCAGTAAAACAGGGAACTCTATACAGAATACTGAGAATCAAATAATTTGGGCACAGAACAAGTAAGTTCTCAAAATTACTAGCTTCACAAACATGGTAATCTTGGTAAACTTAAGTTTCAGCTTCATAACAAACGGGTCACCCCAAAGGAAAAAACACAAACATATTACAGCCAATAAATGAACAAGAGGAAGACCATGGAAATATGGACTCACGGTATTAGAGAAAGACTTTCTCAACAAAGAGAGAAGATTCATTGATTGCTTTAGAGAAACACTTGGCTATCCTCTGAATAACGGTCCCAAATTATCGAGGCCGAAAATATACCCTAACAGGGCCTCAGTCACATGTAAATTGCAGACCTCTTCGGCAACTCATGCGAAAAAGCATCTGCCGAGTTAAAGTCACTGCCAAGAGTATCTCCAGCGCCGCTACGCGCGGCACTAAACTAGATGGCTAGGACTCACGAGCAGCAGCTACCGCATCTCATGCACCTTCCTTCATTTCAATTGCTCGTGGGTGCAAGCTATCTAGTTTAGCCCCGCTCTGCGTCGCACGTAGCAGCGAGGGAGACTCTCGGCGGTATGCTGTGTAGTCGCTGGAAGAGTTCCGCAATTTACATGTGACTGAGGCCGTTAGGGTATATTTTCGGCCTTGATAATTTGGGACCGTTATTCGGAGGATAACCAAACACTTTATAACCTTAACAAAAAATGGACTGATGGGATTGGATAAATATTTTATTGTTTAAACAAATGTAGAAGATGGATTTATGGCAATAGAGAAACACTTTAAATTCTCAATAAAGGGAGAAGTTTGACTGACAGAGAAACACTTCATAGTCTCATCGTATAACATTCAAGCAGGCAAAACTCGGGCAACTTATAAAACTCAAGCTGACAAGACTTGGACAACTCATCACATTCAAGCAGGCACAGCTGGACAAATTATTACACTCAAGCAGACAACACCTAGAAAATTATCCCATTCTAAAACTACAACATCCCGTATGGGTTCCAGGTCTCATTGGGGGGAAACAAAAACAGACCTACTGCTCCCCCAACACGCATGTCATAGGAGTCAAATAACTGGGGCATTTTTCGAGGTCAGAGTACATATGCCTGAGTGGCAAGGAACCAAGAGTCTGCATACAAATAAACCACATGTGTGAAACAGATGTGCATACAACACTCAGGTTATGAAACATGACTAAAGTCGAGTGGCGGACGAACACCCAGAACCTTCCGCCAGAGTTTACAGTCAGTGAATATGAAGAAGACTTAAAGCAGCTTTATTTATGTAGCAATGGTATTACAGTGCCATCAATCTCCAGGAGTGGCAGAATGATTTTTTTAATTTTTTTATTTTCTTACCTAGTATTGTAAAATAAACATGAGATTTATGAGAAGTCAGAATAAAAAAAACTTGGTGATCCCACTGCGGTTGAGTTGAGTTAGAACTGATATCGCAGTATTCTTTACATTCCCATAAGTCAGGGCTATTCAACTGGCGGAGCATTGTCAATCATACTATATTAATGATCTTTCTATGTTGGGCCTTGGGGATCTGGCACGTGATAGTTCCCATTGTTAAAATGTTGCCCCCTGAGAAAATTTAGTTAAACAGCCCTGCAGTAAGTGCTCTCTCCTTATCTTCAGCAACCAGATCCTACCTTTAAATAAAATGTGGAATGATCTATCATTGCATTACACTTTACAGATTCTCTCACTTCCTAATACAGTGATCTAAAATATGTGAAATCCCAACACTTCAGATGCCTACAACAGTATTTGTTGCAGTACTACCTTATCCCCCACAACTCCCTTCTATCTTCATTTATATTCAAAAATAAATACTAATGACAGACTGTTCAGGAAAGAGTGTTTAGTAGGACCATAAACTTGTGGTTTTCTAAAATCAGATGCAATAATTTTTTATTCAGCTGATTAAACTACTTCACTCATAGTAACAACTATTCTCATCGAGTAACCAATAAGACAAGCTATGATTCTCATTTTAGACATAACTTTTATTAGTATACCCTGTTCATTTCAAATATACCGACAGCACATCCATAAAGACAAAGTGCATAAACTATAAACCAATTGTCAGTGATGATGACGCTGGTATATTTTTATTTTGGTACCTGTAACCGTTGATTATTATTTTCAAGAAAACTGTTCATCCAATTGATTGTGACAACTTAATTACAAGCTATGCAGAATCACTACACAATGTGGTGATTCGCTGCAAGTAAAAGGCACACAATGAACAGCTGGTATCTTATACTGACTACATGATACTTCTGCTTGATTTAGTTTTAAAAATTCAGTTGAGAAAATGTCTCGCAACAGTGAACACAGTCCGACAAAGTGTTGTCTCTACTGAGATAAGGGAACAGAAGCTTTCACCTGCACATGAGCGCGTTTTCCACATCTTCAGCAATAAAAGGACTATTGCTAAAAGATGGGACATGTCCCCAACAAGCCGAAAGATGTTCATTTTTGCAGATTTTAGTTGTGGGTTTCCACGTTCGTGATCTCCCAGACCGACCGAACTGTTGCGGACGTGGCCAGGGCGCAGGGAATTGTTGGTAAAGGGGAGAGAATTTCCTGCCGACGTTCATTCGCCTTATTATTACTCAATGATGCACGGATGGACTTGGCTACTGCTGTCATTCTTGTTACGTATAACAAGCTTCTCTTCCTGGCCTACATCCTTACGTCCTTGGGATTGCAAGTTACCCCTGGCTAGTATAGCCGTTACAGTTGCCCTAATTCTATTTTTTTTCTAAAGTATGAACGGGTTATCTGGGATCTGCTTTGTTGGTCTGTCATCCAGAAGTGAGATTTCTATTATTTTTGTTTTTCATGATCGGTAATCGGTACCTGGAAAACAAAAATGTCAATTTTATCCTCTTTCAGCTGCCCGAATGCTTGTTATATCAAGGAAGGATTTCTTGGTTGATTTTTGTTCCTTTGTGGCGATCAATTTCACCGGACTTTTAGTTCTTTTGCGGTCTTGTTCTGTCGTGGTTTTTTGGGCTGTCGGGCAAAGGCGGCTTTTTAATTTTGCTGTTCTCTGCATCTTGGGGAGGGGGAGGTCTACATCCTGAAAAGGACTATCAGTTTTGCCTGTAATGGAATGGGTGGGATCTCATGTTGGTCTGGTGCTGGCATTTTCTGCATGGGACGTCTCTGCTGTTCGTCGGGTGGGCGAGCCGGCTTCTTTGCTGTCTAACTTGTTGGGTTTGGAGTGGGTTGACAGCCCTGATAATGACTGTAATATTTTGACTGGGGCGGGCTGGAAAGGGCGTGGTGGGTCTCCTGTGGTCTGGTGCTGTCGTTTTCTACTTGGAAGTGTCGCTTTTGCTTTTGATGTTTGTTACTTCTTGTGGTGGCAATGTCTCTTTGCTTGCTTCTTGTCTGACCCCTCTCACAGCTGCGTGAGATCTGCTCACGTAAGAGTCGGTGGGCGTTTTCCAGTTCCTTGCTGAATTGTATTTTGAGGAGTATCGAGCTTCGATTTCATCCTCTTCTTGTTCGCTGAGGTCTCTTAGTGGTTGGTCTGTATTTGTGTAGCTTACTCGCCATTCGCCGTCCGCTTCCCACACAACTTTGTCAGAGTACGCCAATTCTTCTATTCGCAGGCGTAACTCTTGTCTTTGGGCTTCAGTTTTATTAATCTCGTGAACTGTTACCGCTTCTGGGTCTTTCTGTCTGGTTTCTGTTATAACTTGGCTTTCCTGGCACGTGTCTGCGGTTTCAGCGCTGTGATCAGTGGATCTTGCTGGCTCCATAGGCTGCGACTTGTGTTTTTGGGTTATCGCCTCTGTCTCTGTTCTTTTTTCAGGTCTGCTGATGCGTGGTTTCTGCGCTGGTTTAAATTAGTTGCCTTCTCTTTGTATGGATTTTTAAAATCCTTCTTGACATCAAGCATTGCAGCATCTGCCTATGCTGTTGCTTGGACCAACAGGGCGACTTTTTTTGTACTCGCTCTCTCGGGCTTCTTTGAGTTCTGCCAACTCTCTCCTGTGCCCCTCTTTTTCTTCTTCCCGGCGAACTGCGACTTGAGTTGTGTCAGAAGGTCTTGGAGCATTTGTGTTGCTTCTATGAATTATGCAAGCAGGCTGGTTTGCTGCGCAATTTCTGCTAGCCGGTCTCCCTTCTGGGCTTCCATTTCATCTAGTGTTTGGAAGATTACGCCTAGCGTCTCGATTCTGTCAGCGGTGGCCTCAACTCTGTCCACTTTCTGACTGCCTTTCCGCATTGCTGAAGATATGGGCGTCCCATATATCTTGCGCAGTGGTATCAAGAACCGACTGCCGAGTACACTGGCAAACCACTGAACGTTACACTGCCTAATATAATCACAAACAACCCCCACCTCCAAAAAGTAGTCGGGGTTGATTCTGTAACGTCCTGGAAAGAGAGAAGGCGAAAGCAAAGAGATAAATACCTGGATTGTTTGGCCACATGAATGGGGACAAACAAGAACATTTACCCAATCTGTGATTCTGGTGATCATGTGAAATGGCGAAACATAACAGTCTACGCTCACCGGCATGGCATATGATGATGTTGTTTATTCATTGTAGTATGACAAACTGTAAGCAACAAATTTAAACGTGAGCGAAATACGTACTTACCGTGACACAAAGCCATTCACTGAGATCAACCAGGCAATATAGCTATTAACCTTTATGCTGACAGTATGAGAATGGCTCTTTTCAAGAAACCTCATATGGTTTAGTATTGTGTTCAATATTTAGTTAGTTAGTTAGTTAGTTAGTTAGTTAGTTAGTTAGTTAGTTAGTTAGTTAGTTAGTTAGTTAGTTAGTTAGTTGGGTTATCCTCATTGCACTCCGGACATGTCCATAGGTGCTCAGATCCTCCCCTCAGTATGAACCCCAACGTCCGATGGCTAATAGTACCAGTTCTATGTTGATTAACAAGTCTTCTGGCGTGTCTGGTGTGCGTCTCGTTTTTTGCTGTGCCGATCTTAATTCCCAAGTCTGCCACTCTGGCGAGTGATGTGGATTCACTGCCACCAAAGTCCTCTATCCTTCCCGCTTCTCTGAGGGCATTGATAATATCAGCATGATCCATAGGCTGACCGTCGGTAGTGATAGTGGATCCAGCCAACCTGTCAGCTCTTTCATTTCCATCGACGCCTTCGTATCCCGGAACAAAAATAAAGGTGACTCCACGCACAGTGGACTTCTGTAATGATTCAAGCCATTGTCTTCGCACTGAACCTGCCTGAACCCTCCGGATCATACTCATTGAATCAATGAGTATACACACGCGGGTGTATTTTTGTGTTTCAAGCCAGGCAAGCGCTTGCGTCACTGCCATCACCTCCATCGTCATGCTGCTGGTTGTCATGGAGAAGGCGCCGTTGGCTTCTTTGACTGTTCTGCCCGCTGAGCGTGCTGTAAATGCCCATGCGCTTCTTCTTTGGCGTATAACGGATCCGTCTGTATAGATTATTGCATCTGCTTCGTCTGAATTTTCACCGATGAAAGCGTTGACCTCTGCATTAACAGCAACATGATTCTCTTCTCTACATCGCCTGTTGAGTGTGACAATACAGGAAAATGTACAAATAAACGCCTGAGGCACAGGTATCCATTCTGCACCAGGTATGATGTCGGTTAGGCTGCATATTTGCCTAAAAACATCTTCTGCCCAACCTAGCCACGATTTCCCCCTCTTCAGTCTGTCTCCCTTTTCACTCAGAAGCGCTTGATGCAGTGGGTGTTTCTTATCAGTTTCTTATCAGTTCAATATTTGTTTCCCGCAACCCTAAATTTCCAGGCTCAAAAACTCTTCTGCCACGCTGCAAAAGTGGTAAATATAGACAGTAATGGCATTATTTTTGTCTGTATTATTGGTGACGGCCTTCATTTGCAGACACGTCCTCAACTTCTGACAATGGTTGTAACAGTGTGTTGGAAGATTTACTGTGGATAATACCGTACTTCTTTCGTCGTCTCACTGATAGCGTGATTAGGGGGGATTACTTATCTTTTGCACATTTTCCGGGAAAGAGGAAAAAAAAAAGGGGGGGGGGGGAGGGTTGCGGGGGAGTTTAGTCACCCTAAGAATAATTTGACCTAAAAGAAATGGGGGAGGGGGGGGGGGGGGGGGGGGGGGGGGGGGGGGCTCAAGGTACCAAAGATCCCAGACCTAAGCTCTCGGGATCCGGCGCTATATCTCTATATTTATTATGCTTCTGATCAAAACCTTCTCTAAGATACTAGTACTAGGTTTAGAGACCATTGTCTTGACATCGACCCTGCTGCCACGAGATACGAAGATAAAGTGATATTGTGTAGTATTGTCAATTCTATGTATGTGCTGAAGAAGGCTACATAGCCGCAAAGTTCACGTTTTGTTTGTGTTTGTTATATGGTGAAGCTCGCTGATATACTTTTCCTTCGGTTTTATATCTTTTCTTGATAGGTTTAGACACGCCCTTCTCTAATTAAATAAATCTGGAGCTGGCCGTGGTTTAGAGACGGCATTGTGTTTGATTAGCTCAAGGGCCGTTACTCCTATTGACACCAGTGTAAACATTAGACTTGTGTCCCAGGGAAACTACAAGGTAGCGGACTGGATTTGAACAGTTAGGTGAACTTACTACAAGAAACAGACAGACATGGGACGAAAAAAGGCAAGAAAACATTTACTTACAAATGTATCTACATTTAATAGTTGTGTAAATCTCTGATAAATGTTTGCAAATATCTTAAAATCTAATGTTCAGTCTCACTGGTTAAACTTAATCCGTAAATGAAGAAATCACCTTTTGTCGATAACACATGTATTGGTATCAGTCAGTTTTGACCAACTCTTATCACAGCATTTAATTTATACCTCATGAGGTGATTTTGAATTATTTTAAGTTGAGTGTATTTAATTTTTTTTTTTTTATAAAGAAGCCAAAAATACTAAAAAGTACTAATTGTACTTGTAGCAATTGTAAGTAATTTAAAACAATTGTAAGTAATTTTTTTAAAAGTCAGGAGGGGACATAACATACAATGGCTCCCTGTTAATTAATTGACCATAACATTTCACTCCTTTTTAGTGGTTGTTCTAGGGTTGCCAGCACATTGGTTTACCCAGGGGCCCATAATGCTCTTCAGCTCTAGTCTGAATGACATATGAAAGAGTATTCTTTTTCTGCCAATTACCCCTTTCCACCCCCCTTTTTCAATGGAGCATAGAGGCCCTCAGCTCAACTAAGTTGCACCATAATTAATAAATTATATATCTTTCACACGCAGTTCACCCATGTCTTCCTCATCTTTTTAACTGTGCCCTCTCCTTCTGTACATGTCTTTTTGGTCTGCCCTTATTTATATGCACCTGTGGATTCCAGTGTAAAGCCATTCTATTCTAGTTATTTTTTGTCAGATTTCCTCACAGTTTGTCCTGTTCAACACCAGTGTCTTTTCTCCACCTCTTGATTCATTGGAATTGGTTTAGTTAAGCCAAACCTTAACATTAGTAATTCTGTCTCACCTTTTAATTCCTCCAATCTGTGCAGGAACCAGTTAATGAATGTTTGTATTTTGTATGGTCAGTTCTCCATCCATATTTCCTTGCATACAGTGGTCAGATTGAGACTGCAATTAAACCATTGTAAGTTTAGTTTTAATTTTCATTTCCTTTTACGTGCAGACACCCTAGTGCTATAAAAACTTTTTTTTTTTTATGTTAAATTTTTTTTTATCTTTATCAGTTCCATCTTTGTCTACATTTCATTACTGCTCAGATAGTGAATGAATCAACATCTTTGAGTCGAATATCACAAAGAAAAATTGAATAACTGTTTTACCTGGTTTATTCTCTTATCTTTGTCTTTCTCTTATGGATTTTTATAGCTATACCTAATTGTTGTGATCTTGGGTCAAGTATGTTTAATTTATCTTACAGCAGATTCCATTAGTGGGATAAAAGAAATAGTATCCTTGAAGTCCAGGTCATTAAGCTCTTTTGTAGGAATCCACTAAATTCCCTTGCTGGTGATTGCAGTTGATGAGTTGCTGTCTTAATAATCCAGTATATTGCCAGTAGGAAAAATGTAGAGATAAAAGGCATTCCTGCCACACATTTTTCTTAGTTCTGTGTCTAGTTAGTTTTCTCTCAACAAGAAGAACTCAACATTTCATGTCTTTATATATGTTGTCCTTATTGTTAGTGATTTTCTGTGTTATCCCCATAGTGCCTCATCAGTTCCAGATAGATTCCCTATCAGTGCTATCAGAAGCTTTTTCATAGTCATCCCTAAACTATCAATGCTTTCAAAGGCTTCTTCAAACTCAGTGAATCAAATATAAAGTGGTGAATTCCATTTGATGTTTTACTGATTTACTCTGTTATTATCCATAGTGTGGCTGTCTAGTCAGTTCAGGATCTATTTGGATGAAAATATGCCTGTTCATTCCTTAGCTGTTTAGCATTGGTATCTTTTAGTTTTTCCAAAATAATCCTATTTTAAATATTTTCCCAGGAACTGACAGCAACATAATTCCTTTATAATTTTCACATGCCTGCAGGTCACACTTGGCGGCGGGGGGTTTACAAGATATCCTTCTCTCCAGTCTGCTGGTATTTCTTCAACCTCTTAGACTTTACTGAAAAATTTGTGTTTATTTTGCAGTAATAACTTCTTCTGGGATACCATCTAAACCTGCAGCCATCGCTTCCTTCAGTAAATTGACAGCATTCCTAATTTCCTCTTTAGATGGTATCTCACAGTTTCAGAAGTGTATGAACAAGCGGATTTGTCAGATTAATAGCCAGTGAACACCAATAAGAAAGAAGATTTATTATAATGTTTTGAAGTTGCATGTAAAATGTCTCAGCTGATTCATCTTTGTCTATTATTTGTTGGTGTACCTTACTGATATGCAGACTTTTGTTGTTGTTCAATATCGAGAAAATACAATGCTTAGTATTTCATATGTCTTAACCTCACTGCCAGTGGCATTCACATTTCTGAAATACTATTTTTTTACAGGGAAAGAAAGGAAAGGCAGCACGAAATGCTCTGAAAAATCAAACAGTTGATGTAAGCGAAGAAGCATATGCAAAAGCTCCACACTCATTTGTGTTCCAAAGAGGCCATGTTGGCAAAACAGTTAAAGAGCTGGTCAGAGATGTCAGAAAAATCCTGGAGCCGTTCACAGCTGCTAATCTGAAGGTAGGTTATTGTGCATGCCATATTGGTTGGGACATCTGATCAGTGTTGCATATTGCATCTTTTCTTGTACAGTTCTAGACATTGTTAAAATATTATTTAAACTAAATTACTAATTACCAGTTAAATTATCCTAAAACTCGTACCCGAGAAGCCTGGCATCATAAAAGGCTATTTCGTGTCTCCAATAACTTATTCTAGAAAAAGCATAGTTAAATTCCACGGGTCCAGTGTGCGCCTGCGCTGTGTTCATCTAGCCAGGATATAAATATAGTAACTAAAAATAGCATTTAGGGCTGTTACCTTTTGACCCCAATGGTTTTTGAAAGCCAAGTTAATGTGAAATTTTCCCATAATTCTTAGTGGTCGAGGTCACGGTATGGACCACCCAGTGCATTTTGTGTTTTATACCCCTGGAATGAATTCAGTTTATAATGTTTAACTATGTTCATGTTTATTGATTACCTCTTCCGGGAAGGCTAACCTGGGTAACAAATATCTTCAGAAGTCGGATGCCTCGACCAAAAGGCACAAATGTTACAGTCAAGGTGTAGGCACAGCACATCTACATTATGTCTTTGAATGAACGCAATAGATTACCTCTTTACATTGTACATTTCTTAAAAAAATTATTAGTGATCCCTGCAGTTTTTTTTTAAAGGAGTTTTCCAGAATTTCCTGCTGGTTTATGGCCCATGTTTTAGCAATTCCATGGTGCAAGGGTTAGGGTTTCTTTTGCTACTGCCCTGTGTTCTTTTTTTTTAAATTTTTGTCCACAACCAGCTTTCACAAATTAGATTTAAATCCTGACCACTGACTTGATTTGTAAGCTTAAAAACAGTGCCTTATAAATGAATTCTTCTTCTTCTTTGTGTACACCAGCTGTACACTCTGGCGTAAAGTTCTGGTTATTCGTCCACTACTGAACTGCAGTCATGCTCCAGAACCTGAGTGTTGCATGTGCATCAGTTTTACAGATCTGATTCTATTGAATGCAGACTGCTGGTTCCTTGCCTCTCAGGCAGATGCACTCCGACTTCAAAGGAAGCTCCCCAGTTAGTCGACTCTTACGACATGCTTTTGGGGAGGCAGTGGGTCTATTCTTGTTTTCCCCACAATAGGGCCCCGGAACCCACACGGGGGATAAATGAATTAATTATTAGGATTTTCTCTAATATTTTACCTTTCTTCGTACGTGTAGACCAAAGTAATTTGCCTAGAACACATCTTGTTGTTTCCTTGCAGCTTTATTTGAGGGATATTCCAAAATCAACCTCAGAATGGCATGTAAAAATAAGCAGTTTTGCATAGCGACACCATTCATTGCTTGGTTTATTCAGTAGCATTTTAGCTGACTACACATTAACCTACAGTCATGTGTTTTTTCAGTGGTTCACGTATCGCTAAAAATAAGCATAGACACTGTTATTGCTTTGATTGATTTTTGGAATAGACCTTGTATTTATGATGTTTATGCAAAAACTATTGGAAAATCTTGTAATATATTTGCTGCTAACGCTTACAAAAAAATTGACTATACATTTCTCTGTTAAGCGTTTTTAACTTTTTTTTTTCTTTAAAAAAAAATCTGATTTAGGTTCGGAGAAAAAGTGTCATGAAAGATTTCCTCACAGTTGCCGGACCACTGAACGTGTCTCACTTCATTGTTTTCTCAAAGACGGATATTGCCATTTATATGAAACTTATCTGTGTTCCCAGAGGCCCAACTCTGACCTTTAAGGTCAATGAATTCTCTCTCGCCAGGGATGTACTTTCCTTTCAGAAACATCCAGACGTGGATTCCAAGATGTTTATGAACCATGCTGTAATGGTAACGAACTTGCCCTCAGACAGCATGGAGAATAAACTCATGAACATTAGCTTCAAAAATGTGTTTCCATCCATCAACCCAAATACGGTATGTATGATGTGTTGTCATTAGCCTGTGATTGCTAGTTGTAATTTATTAGATAAATTCTGGTTAAGGCACTGGCTAATGATATCGGTTAATGCACTGGCTAATGATGCTGGTTAATGCACTGGCTAATGATGCCAGCAATTGGTTAGTGCACTGGCTAATGATACTGGTTAGTGCAGTGAGACACTGTTAATGTACTAGCTGACACATTCATTTTCTTAGAACAGTTGTTGCTTGCTTTTTTTTTAATTACCAGGCATTCTGTTGTAAGAAGTTACTTAAAGTAACGCATGATTCAGTTTGATAGGGGTCCATATAATGATGTTGTGTGACACATGATGCTGTGTGGTGAGACATTTAGGACTGAATGGGTTAAACCACTAGAGCCCACAGTGTTAAAGGCATAGAGGAAGAGCTACTATGAAGGTGATGGCGATAACAACAGCAGTGATGTGGCTAGAGACAGCATTTTTCCTATGCATGCTTTCTAAGTGATTCCATGAGCGTGCTTAAGAAAATAGAGACGGGATGGATTCAAAGAAAAGGGTTGGAGTCGCTGAGGAAATCTCACCTGACAGAAATTAGTTTTAATTTTTGTGCTAGGACACTCTAGGGTGAGAGGGAATGAGCGAGCAGATTGGCTTGCTGGCAGGGCCATGAAAAGCAATTGACCGAGCTGACATTCTCAGTGCTCTCAAGGAGGCAGGATAAGAAGATGATTCAGGAGACAACGTTGAATCTGCAACACTTTGAAGACTACAAAAACCTCAGGTCAAACGTGAACAGAATACAGATAGCCAAAGAAGAATAGTAAATCAACACATAGCTCATGCTATCAGTCGCCACATGCTGAGTGGTATACTGAAGATGGGATCTGAGCGCTTATGGACTTGTTCAATGTTAGTTAGTCTTTTCTCTTGGGCTTAAGGCGGCGCATAGGGCTGATGTCATCGCTCTCCATGTCTGGCGGTTCGTTGCCACCTGGTTGAGGTCTTAGATGTTTGTTATTCACATGGTTGAGCCTTTCCTGATGATGGTTCTACGTAGAGTTTAAACGAAGCATCGTAACATTAAGAGCTAGAAATCTTATTCTGAAACAGTGGATGTTTTACGATGGCGAATGTTGGGTCGTCGATCAACAGTCTAAAGCCAAGCCAGGAGGAAACAGGTCCTGCCATTTTGACCTAAAGTCGGGGCTGTTCGATGTGCAGTAAGGATAATCTGTTGATTAACTAACTAGGGTCATCTAAAAACACCTAGGGAAGAGAATTGGAGACATGAAATAATCTGCAGAGAATTACAAAGGTAGGCTAACCTGGTATAAACTGGCTGGCCTGTACTCAAGTGCAGGATGAGGGACAGAAGAAGAGTGCAGTGAACTAAGACAAAACTGCAGTTGAGAAGAAGATGAAAACCTGCAATAATGAGATAATAAATATATGTCGCCATTCAGGATTCTTTAGGCACTATATGAAAAAAGACTTTAAAATTAGCGGCACAACAAAATCTGATGAAAGATGGCAAAAGAGAGACTTCTTGATGGCTTAGCTAAATTACAATGGTATGGACTAGTCTGAGACTAGGGGCTGTTTTGTACGGTGAACTATAATTGTGGTCACTTTATGCATGATGATTATGACAGGCAACTTATGTCTGTGACTGTAATGTTTATGTTTCTGCTGTAGGTGAAAATTAATGACATGCGCCGATCAGTGTTGGTGAACTATGACCCTGAGACCAAGTGCATTGATATTCGTCACTAGTAAGTATTCATTTTTACTGTTGAGTGTGTACTTGTAAGTGATGCTTATTGGCATTTGTATGATGACCAATTTTTTCAAGGCCATCTGAATGGATGATAGTAAGAATTGTAGAATATGAAATGTTTTACTCTCTGTAATGTCAAGGCAATGGATCAGCTTTCAAATATTCTCAGACAGGAGAGAAAATAGGTCTTTTATACATGTTGCTTAATAAAAAAACTCTTACCAGTTGTAAGTTCTCAAGAGTCAGCAGTATACCGGACATTGCACCATAATATTGATCACAAGCATGAGAGAAAGTTTTGCATTGGGATGTGTATAAGGAGTTACGCCATACCCCACTTTAGGCACCAGCCAGTTCTGGGATGGTTTTACAAGTCATCGTGCCAGACTCCTGCCTCATGTCCATGTCGTGCACCATTGATAAGGGCTGACCTTTGTGACCTGAACCGAGTTGGCAGGGGATCTCGGAGTTGGTAGCCTCTAGAGATATAGCGTCCAGCCTGGCGCGCATCAGCCTAATTCCAGTGCATGGGTGATGTCTATGAAAGCTTATTTGGAACATAGGTAAAGTCTGCTAATGAAACATAATACTAAATGACAACCGTCGGTTAAAATATCTGTTGAGTGGAAAAAATTGCTGTACAGTTGAGATTCAGCCCGATAACAAGAGATCTGCAGGCAGTAACTCGCGGAATAGTCCTGTCCGTTGCTGTTCTTCTATTTGTCATCACGATGTTGAGGTACACAACGACAGTCTGCCCTTTCAGTGTGCTGGTTTAGCATCAAAGTCTGTGTGATACACATCCTGTGGCACATAAACTAAGTCACAAATGTCCGACCGAAACATGTCCTACTAATTGGCAGAAAGGCTCACATGCTGATTACCATTGACTACACTTGCCAGAGTGTTGGACCTTAAAGGGGAGCCATGTTGGATGCATGGTTTTGCAGTACTGTCTTGCTAAGTTCCCAGATAAAACAATGTTAAAGGTGTCTAACATCCCAGACCTGTGGGCTGCTCCTTACTGATCTCCAGAGAGTGCAATTCATGATGACTGTGGAAAGCTCAACATGCGGATGTTAGATTAAGCACTATTTATTCAGGACGTGATGATTCCTCAGGTGAGCCCAGGACCCGAGCGTCATGTGTCAGCTGTTCACTTATGGAAGACTCCTTGGATGGCAGGAAATGCCCATGATCTGCCCCTGCCTTTCCTTAAGAGCCAGCCTGTCTACACTTGGATGCCCTGTACAAGGTTTCCAGGGGCAAAACCTGTGGATAAGGGGACAAAGAGGACACCACACAAATATAGGCTACACAGAATGTTCCCATGAAACTGTCCGTAAAGTTAACTTGGTCAACAAATGCTCAATGAAGTTGGATGTGTCTGCTGAAAGGCACAGATATCGCAGCTCTGCTGTAAATACGCACAACACATTTACATCACTAGGGCGAACGAGAAGAGGAAAGAAGTATACCAGACAATTTTCAGATAAGAAAACTCACCCATAAGTGAATATTTAAAGTTTGTATATAAGAGAGAAGGCAGACATCAAACACAATTCTGTGCAGAAGTTGAATGTCTTGACTGAAGTCAAATATCTGGACTTGGATATAAATTGACATAGCATAATTGGCATCATGTTCCAATTCGAAGAATTCCCTTTGCCCAGAGAAAGCTGGTTTTCTGCTTGTTATGGTTAAAAAAAAATAAATAACACAGTGTTCTAAGTTCAGTGGCCAATATGCCCATAAAACGGGCTTATACTGATTGCAGCTGTGCTACTTGGTGGGTATGAGTATATTGAAGAAACATTTTTTCAAAGAAAGTGTTTGGGGTGAGAAACTCAGTTTTTCTTGGTCATCGTGGTGTCATAATAAACTTATGATGAAATCACTTTTCTCTTTGTGACTGTCAACTAAATCGCTGTTTTCTTAGTCAGATGGCAGGAAAGCAGCAAGCTTGCTTGTCTATTTACATTTGCTGAATCTTCACAAAAACTGACTTAGATGCCAAACTACTGCTTCCTTTTCTCTTTCTCTAGTTTCTTAGGGTAGAGTTTCAGAGATTAATTATAACAAAGTATTTCTTTTTAAAGCGGCGTCCGTGGCTAAGGCGCTGCGAGTCCGACTCGTAAGCCAGCATACCGCGATCGAAACCCACTGCAGGCTGCGTGGATTTTTATCGTGGTATGGAGCGTTGCAGGTCGACCCAGCCTAAAATGGGTACCAGGATGGACTGTCCTGGGAAAGTAAAGACAGCTGGCGTATTGTTGACCACATTACCCACAGAGTGCTGATGGTCTGTAAAAATATGGGACGCTCTGCCCATATGCCCGATGCGCCGAATGGCGTGAAAAGGGATCTTTACTTTTTTTTACTTTTATTTCTTTTTAACAAAATTGTAAAAAGGACAATTTTTAAGACTTTAGCGGGGCAAAAGGGTTAACTAACTTAATGATGTTTGCTATATATAAACTTCATGATGTTTTATTAATTAATATATTGATATTTTATCAACTTGCTTGGTGGCGATGTATTGAGCGTCCTGTTGTGTATTCTGCAAGTTTCATTGTTTGTCCTCTGTTGACAGCACAATGAAAGTTGTTCCTACTGGTGTGAGTCGAACAGTCAAGAAATTGATGAGGTCAAAGCTGCCGAACCTTGGCGGCCACAGTGACATTGCTGATGTATTTTTAGGAAAGTGAGTATTGGAGTGTTTTTTTTTTTCTTCACGTATATTTATAATACTATGATATTTGGTAATAAAATAAGACTAAATGAATCATCTTGTGCGGGTGTTTTACTGTTGCTCCTAAGTGGCATAAAGAATAATAATACTGTAAGCTACCAGTATGTTGTAACATTTCCACAGGAAGGAAAACATTAAAAAATTGTCCAGGAAACTAGAAGTTCCGAAACAATCCTGGAAAAATCATTTATTATTCCTTACTAAAAAATTTAAAATACACGTATTGATCTATATTAAGAAAAATGTTCAGCTGAAGTATTTAAAGACAAATGGAGGAATTACTCAGTAAACATGACTCATGCAGCGAACCTGTGTGACCAAAACACTGATTCTATAGGGACATTTTGTGTGTGTCAACATGGTCGTCAGAAAAAGCTATTTGGTTTACAGACAAACCTCTCTAAATGCATTTTTTAAGGGTAACATATTTATTTCGATGCCTGCTAAATGCTGCACAGGAATAAACAGAACCAATACCATGAAACCATACTTATCAGAAGCAGGTCACTCAGACAGGCCGGTTTCATGGCCTTTACAGGGATGTGGAAACATTGGAGAAGCCGGGTTTAGGGCTTCATTAGGCAAAAAGCTTCAGAAGTAATTTATAGGCTTTAGAGGATAGAAGGACTTGGCGTGTGTCATCAGTCGATGGAGGGCCCTTACTCCATTAGGGGATAGAAGACAGAAGAAAAAAGAATGGGCGTCACCCCCATACAAATTGTTTTTTTATGTTCCATGGAATGTATTCCATTAGATACTCTTTAATTTGTCTGTGTTTATAGATTACTCCATTATGTTTCTTGAAAAGTATCAGGAAAGAAAATAAAAAGCATGTGTAGATAATTTATTTGAAAATGATTTATTAGTGACTAAGTAAAATTGTTTTTAAAAGATTTCTGGGAATTTCTACAGGGTTGTGACCCATTTATTGTAGCAATTTTAACAAAATCTTGCTTCTGGGGATTTTCGGTATTAAGTAATTTGGTTCCAAAAAATCCTAGCCTTCACTGGGGCTTGAACCCGGGACCTCCAGCACTCAAGGTGGATGCCATACCCCAAGACCACTCAGCCACTTTTAGTCAGTAAAGTAAGCTGGCCTAGGGTTAATGGGACTAACAGCATTGTGCCTTATGTGTCAAAAGGTGTCATTTATCTGTCCTTTTTTGAAACAAACTAATATGTATCTCTCCCTCCATCAGAAATATGTCAGACAGTGAAGGTGAGCAAGACGGTCCACACAACCAGGTCACGGTCACCCAGAAGGTCAAGGACAGGGGTGTTGCCAAGAATGCTGTGAATGCTATACGGTACGCACTTTAAGAATATGTTAGTAGAGCCAGGTAGTCAGGCACTAAAATAGATACAGCTTTATATTTTTATCTTGTCTCATGTGTCCTGTTGCCAGTTTGACATGCCTGCTTTAATCAGAAAGCTGATTGATAAACAGCATCCTGTCTCGAAAGTTGAAGTATTTTGGCCACATCTAGCGTCATGGTGGCTTGGAAAAGTCAGTGATGGAGGATACAGTTTGTGGAAGGTGAGGCAGAGGTCAGCCACCAGGAAGATGGATACAGGACATTGAAGAAGCTTTGTTATTGAAAGCACATAGGGCCAGAGAGCTGGGAAAAGGAATACTTTCAGGTGTGCTGTGAAGAGAGCAACGTTCTGTAAAGGACTTGATGATTGATGAAAACAAATAATGGTGATGCTGTAGTTTACACACACAGATCTGTGATTTTAGAGAAAATTGGGACCGCGTTAGTGCCGTCAGTAGAAGACTTGCTTTAAAATCCAGCTTCGACTCAGCTTCACCCAGCCTTTAGGTAATGGGTACCAGAGGTAACACTCTAGGGTAAATGGAGGAAAGTCGCTGTAGCTACGGAGTTGCGTGCGGACGGCTACATAGGCAGACAGTTTCTTATCAGCTGCCCTTACTGGTGGCTAAGCACCTATGGTTTATAACTGTGCAGTGACACTGGTTCACATCTACCGAGTTTACCTTTACCTTTAAGCAAGCAAAGTGTGTGGGCATTCTAAGTGAGATCAATGAGGGAAAATGTCAAAGGGGGTGAATTGTGCTTCTGCTGTCAGAACTTGTAATCTCACAGTGGAAACTTACATTCTAAATAAGACCACAACTGCTGCGCTATGAAATTAGTTGGCACCTTGCCCCAAGACCCCTCCCCATAACTAAATGATTACTGAAGATAAGTATAATTGAGAAATTATAATAAATACATTAGCACAACGTTTTAAACACACACTAGTTGATAGAGACTGAGATTCACACTGAGGCTGCAGCAAAGTTCTATGCTGTGAACTAAGTCTCCTAGTGTAGTGGCATGACCTTAAAAACAAATATTGAAACCACCAGTGAATAATTTTATTGCAACAAAGGTTTGTCTGTGAATCCACATTGATCATCTAATGTTGTGCTTTTGGCTAAAAGATTTGTTTTTTTTTTTTTGTTTGTTTTGCAGCCTTAAAGAGATTGGCCCACGACTGACCTTACAGCTGGTCAAAATTGAGGAAGGTTTTGAAAGTGGGGACATTCTTTATCATTCTCTAGTGAAAAAAACACCTGAAGAGATTGAAGCTCTTAAAGAAAAGAGACAAAATAAACAGTAAGTCAATTCTTGGTTTGACAACTGTTATTTCTAGTGGAAATGGAAGTAACAGATAGTAGTAACCGCCATGCATGTCGTAGGAGGCAAATAATGAGTATTGGTACGAGCCTGGGCCATGTTTGTCCATTCCTGAACCTTAGTAGTGCATGCACATCAGTTTTGCAGTTTTTTTTAATGCAGACTGTTGGTTCCTTACCCCTAAGGCAGTTGCACTCCGACTTCAAAGGAAGCCCTCACTTAGCCGACTCTTATGACATACTTGTTGGGGATGCAGTGGGTTAGTTCCTATTTTTCCTCACAATGGGACCCCAGAACACACACAGAGATACTAGTTCTTCTTTTCTCTACTTCTGGAATGCCTCGTGGGGTCAGTTATTATTAAACCCGTCAGTGTTCCATTTTCCTCAGTAGATACTGTAAGGTGTACATGCTTCTCTTTCCAGTATCACTGCTAGTAGACATCCTGGAGTCATGCCCTTATCTTTCTGTTCTTCTCTGTGGCTGCACATCAATGACAATGATTAATGAAAAATAAAGGCAGTGGAGATGTGGTTATTGAGAAGAATGTCATAAGCAAAGAAGAAAACAAAAACACAGTGTTTGTTGGCTATAGTCATCAGAACTATAAAGAAAAGACAAATAACCTTATAGGTGCATTAGGAGAAAGAGTGGAATAAAGAAAATACCAGGCATAAAAAGACAAAAGTAAACAAAGTTTCTACAGCTGAACAAATAATGCGAGGTTAGTTGCCTATCATTTGCAGCAGTGCTATTCAATTGGCGACCCATGCGCCACAAGTGGCCTGTTGGTCATTGGCATTTGTAGTTTTTTAATTCACTTTCTATGGTAGGGCTCCTGGCCGGTGAGTGACAATCTCCATTTGGAAAATGCTGGCTCCTGAATAAACTTAGTTTAACATGCTTTACACTATGTTGCAGGATTTAACCACAACAGTTTATTTTTTTATAGACAATTCTGCATTTAGTCGTTTGCTATAGTTCTGTACGGTTGGCACTCTGTACCATTGTCAAACACAAAGCGATATGCTGTTGAATTAACAGGGCCTGGAATTCAACTGTGTATTTCAAAATGACACTTGCAACACCTGAGCCACAGGCGGCGACAGTTTTGTACAAAATAATCAAATTCAATAAAATATCTTCCCTTGTGGGTACTGGGGCCCCATTGGGAGGGGGGGGACAAGAATAGACCTACTGCCTGCCCAAACACATCGTAAAAGTCAACTAAAAGGGAGCTTCCTTCAAAGTCGGAGTACATCTACCTGAGAGGAAAGGAACTAACAGTCTGCATGTAACACTCAAGTTTTTGGAACAGGACTAGAATCCAAAAGTGGACGAGCAACCAGAACTTTCTGTCAGAGTTTAAGCCGGTGAACGCAAAGAAGAAGAAGAATAAAATATCAGGTGACAGATGACTGGATAACCACGGTTACCTGCGTCTACTCAAGAAAAACCTCGTGAATAATAAATCATCATGACTGACAGTCTGTTTTGTGTATGTCTATGTGTTATGTATTACTAATCACACCTCATCGATTTGTCTACAAATAGGAAAGTGAAACAAGCTAGAAAACAGCGGCAAGAAGCAAATATAAAAAAGAAGAAGGAGGCTAAAGATGAACACATAAAAAAATCACTGGAAGGAATGAAAAAGAAAAAAGAGCAGGAGGTAAAGAACGAAGAAGATAATGATGAGTCTGACAGGGAGCCTGAGACAAATATCAACGAGCAGTCAGGTAAATTGATGTCTTCTGCTGTATTGAAGTTAACGGCAGTTACTTTACTGTTTAAATAATTGACGGTATTCAAATGTTTGGCGAGATATATACAGGTTCAAATATTTTGTTTTGTTTTATTGGTAAAGTATATGTTTTTATTACTTTCAATTATGCATTTTTACACCTCATAACTTGTGTTGTTTATGACAGGATTGCCTATTAACTTAAAAAATTAGGTTATAGTGAGGATGAAATAAAAGTTTTTTTTAAAATGGTTATTATTCACTGTTAACATTGAACTCCTGTCCCAAATGCCTGGGATACGAGCCACAATCACCGTTCCATCAAAATTGCTTGTAATTATGAGCTCCAGTTTGAGGCTATCAGTCATGGATGCTTAGAAATTAATATGAACCACATCATAGTTAGCACAGTGAAACAAAGAGATAATGTTGGAATATGATGGAAGATATAAATTTATAGTGATTCTGTGACATGTTAGCCCGGATATGGTTGTTATATCATTAGTTAAATTAATTTTCTGCAATAAGATGATTGTCACACTAATTTATGTGACTTTCCATAATATGGTCATTATCTGACTATTTGACTTGGCTTTGCATGATATGCTCACATGAGAAATATGCAAATCATTGGAATCGAGCTCCCTGTTTTCCTTAGGATAGATGAGGAATAAAAGAACACATGAACCAACGGTTTAAGCTATCTTGTCAGCTAACAGGAACAATTAAATTATGCTACATTATCAGTTGAGACAAATCATTTATTTAGTTACATTGTCAGTTAATTAAAACCGTTAAGTTTGCTACATTGTCAGTTTAACATGAACCATTAATATTGCTAGATTGTCACTTATTGTAAACCATCAATATACTACATTGTCAGTTTAACATGAACCATTAATATTGCTAGATTGTCACTTAATGGAAACCATCAGTATACTACATTGTCAGTTTAACATGAACCAATAATTTTGCTAGATTGTCACTTATTTTGAAACTATCAACATACTACATTGTCAGTTTAACATGAACCAATAATTTTGCCAAATTGTCACTTATTTTGAAACCATCAACATACTACATTGTCAGTTTAACATGAACCAATAATTTTGTTAGATGTCACTTATTGATGTGACATCAACATACTACATTGTCAGTTTGACATGAACCAATAATTTTGCTAGATTGTCACTTATTTTGAAACCATCAACATACTACATTGTCAGTTTGACATGAACCAATAATTTTGCTAGATTGTCACTTATTTTGAAACCATCAACATACTACATTGTCAGTTTAACATGAACCAATAATTTTGCTAGATTGTCACTTATTTTGAAACCATCAACATACTACATTGTCAGTTTTACATGAACCATTAATATTGCTAGATTGTCACTTATTGGAAACCATCAATATACTACATTGTCAGTTTTACATGAACCATTCATTTTGCTGCTTTGTCTGTTAACATGAACTAATAATTCTGCTTAATTGTCAGATAATGTGAATTTTAAATATACTATATTGGTGGGTTAACATGAACCATTAATTTCGCTCATTGTCCATTAACATGAATTAATATTTTTGCTACATTGTCAGTTAAAATGAACCATTAATGTGCTGTGTTGTCAGTAATAAATCGGTGTTATTTATGATTTTTATTTAATTCAACAGATGACGATGATCGAGAATATTATAAACAGGAAGTTGGCCAAGAACCAGAGCCAGGTTTGTTGTTTTCATAAACTGATTGGGCAAAAAAATTAAAATAATTATTTATTAACATGCATCTTTACTCTGACAAATAGACGTTTGTCTCCCCGTGTGGATTCCAGGGCCCTATTGTGGGGAAAACTAAAAGACCCACTGCTTCCCCAACAAGCATGTCAGAGGGGTCAACTAATTGGAGCTTCCTTCGAAGTGTGCATCTGCCCTAGCAGCAAGCAACAACCAAGTGCACACAAATAAGCCAGTAAAACAGGTGCACACACAAAACATAGGCCCTGGCACAAAGCCAAAGTCCAATGGACAAACAACCAGGACTTTTCAACAAAAGCATACAGCGGGTGAACAAAGAAGAAAAAGATGTGTGTCATGGACAATTTTTCATATATAGTTAGTTGCGTATCCTTTACAGGATGTTGCAGAACCAACCCGCATTTTTTGGCTGTTGTGGTTTTTCTAGGCAAGTTTACGTCCACTGCTTTCTGGACGATCGACTTCTCGATACTACTGTCCAACCAGTGCAAGGTATGCAGCTGGGATCAAACCCGGCACCCTAAAATTACTAAGCGCGTTCGCAGCGCCTAAGCCACAGATGCAGACTTTTGCATATATATGCAATGACTCTGTTCTATTTCACTCTGGCTCCAGTCACTTGCAGACTCCTTTCATGTGCTGACAGTCAACACCACAAGTAAAAATGTACGACAGTGAACAACACAATGCGTTTTCACACTTTATTTTCCACTCGATGTTTCTTCAGTCGGTACATGGTGAAGGACATGTCTAGGTATTCTAAGATCAAATTTAAAAAAATGTCAACATTACCTTCACTGATGGAAACCACATCCAACCATCCCACAATAACAATTTAGCACAAACAACTATTCTTCCAAAACAGCGATGAACACAGCTAGCAGACGATTTCCCATCAGTCTTTGCTGTCTGGCCAAGTAGGGTTAGAAACTCTGCAGACATATGAGACGCACACTGGATGCGACAAACACTCCTCCGTTCTTCATGCATTCAGTTTCTTGGCCCAAAGAGACTGCTCACATGCTTTTTCTGAGACCTTATATAATCTTCCAACTCCCACATTATAATGACTTTGTCGCGTTCTCTGATTCACACGGGTTTCATCTGACCAGCATTTCCCCCGTGCTTCCCGGCTCTGCCCTCGTTACATTTAAATATCTCATTTATATTTATTAGCTGACGTCATTCCTTCTGGGACATAACTTATCAAAGAGAAGATGGTTCACTACAATATATATATATATTCAGAGCCTTTAAGCCTAAATGCTTTGAAACCTAGTTAGAATGTGTATGAAAATGAAAAGAAAAGAAAATACTTTCAAATATTTATCTATCTGTTGTTTCTGTTTTTTAAAAATCTTTTGTATACAGATTTCAGCAGGACATGTCAACACACTTTCCAGACTTCAATTTTTTTTTTCCAAATTAATGAATCATATATTTGTGAATCTGAAAACATAATATATGCCATAATCTGCAAAATATGCAACAAAGCATACATTGGGGAAACCAGCAAGAAGCTAGCTAGTTCAGTTCATTTTGAGGAAGGCCCCAGCCGAAATATCGATTTGTGTGGTTTTATGCACGTTTTTCTGCTGTCCCATTTCTTTAAGCTTTTAATCACCATTCACTGGACTAATTAATTTCTTATACATTTTCTGCAGAAATGTTTTCCCAGAGCACAAAAAGGAAAAGGACAGGAGAAAGTAAAGCAGAACCAAAGCCGAAAAGAAGAAGACACGACAAGGTGATCCCTAAAAAGTTTCACAGCCGAGATGCAGATACACAGAAAACACAAAAGAAAAAGTTCTCAGTTAAGTTTAATCCAAAACAAAGCAGAGCTAACAAGCCAAAGAAAAACGTGGCAGGGTTTAAGAAAATGAAGAAGCATCAGTTCAAGCCAAAATAATGGTTGAAAGGACTGACTGCAAGTATTGTGTCCTTTTGTACATACATTCGTATGGTTTGTGTAAGTCTGACCATTAAATTGTGTGTGTTTGCAGTGAGTTTGAAGATAAAATTTTTATTAAATAACATTTGGCTGCTTTTGTTAGATATGTGAATAAAATAAATATTATCTAATTCAGCATTTAAAAAGAAGGAAATGAATGAGATTTTTTTAAACCATACAGATCTTAGGGGTCAAAAATTTGTGAGATCTGGCATTATTTGGGAACTGATTCATCATTTGGCAGTTTGCCTGCATCAGTATCATTATGGAGCTTTTATCGGCCTCTGTCTTATGAATTGCTTGCCAGTCATTTTTAAAGTCCTGTGTCCACCTTCTGACTTTGTCAAAGAACTCTGCCTTTGGGTACTGTTCTTGCTAAACCACTGTAATGTTTAAAAGTTGTGGCAGGGTATATAGAAAATTAGGTTCTAGTTTAGAGAACAGGTTCCACCACTTCTTCGAAACAAAGTTTTGGATGTTTTTCCACTTCAGGACTTTTGTACCAGAACTTGAGTTTTGCATACACATCTACAGATCTAACTTTTTTTGTATGCAGATTGTTGGTTGCCTACCTCCCAAGCAGATGAACTCCAACTTTGAAGAAAACCCTAATTAGTGACTGCTAAACATGCTTTTAGGGAGACATTAGGTCTATTTTTGTGTGTTTTTTGTTCCCCACAGTGGGACCATGGAATCTGCATTTTCAAATCTCCAGTAAAGGTGATGATGAATGGTTCTATCATGGCCTGCAAAGATTCCTGCTCTTTGCAGTTCATGATGACTTCACTAGCTACAAAGTCCTAAATCCGCAGGCTCAAGACCATAGAAAAAAATGTTTACATGTGGAAATGTCAGTTGTGGTTGATATGGTGCTAGGTCAGTGAACATGAGTGTGTGTATACTTGTTACTTTCTCTTGCAATTCATGGGCATGAAGTGGGCTTGGGTAAAGTTGTTTCAGAGGCGAAGAATAAATAATTATTACAAATGTACAGCCTGAGTAAACTTTTTCAGATATTTGGTTGCTTAGTGTGTGTTCAAATAAGAAAAATATACATTTATCTTCTTCTTCTTCTTCGCGTTCACCAGCTGTAAACTCTGGCGGAAGGTTCTGGTTGCTCGTCCACTACTGAACTGCAGTCCTGCTCCAGAACCTGAGTGTTGCATGTGCATCAGTTTTACAGATCTCATTCTCTTGAATACAGACTGTTGGTTCCTTGCCTCTCCGGCAGATGCACTCCAACTTCAAAGGAAGCTCCCCAATTAGTCGACTCTTACGACATGCTTTTGGGGAGGCAGTGGGTCTATTCTTGTTTTCCCCACAATGGGGCCCCGGAACCCACACGGGGGTATACATTTATGAAACTACTACTCATATGGCTTTCAGGGGCCCTATTGAGGGGGGTGGGGGGCTCACTGTCTCTAACTAGCATGTCGTAAAACACAACTAATTATGGATGTTTTTTTTTTAAGTCAGAGTGTATCAGCGTGAGAAGTAAGGAACTAACGGCCCGCATACTAATAAGCCACATTCATGAAACGTATGTGCATGCAAACCTCGTTCTGGAAGAATAAACCCATTCGGGAATGAACAACCTGAGCTTTTTCCATAATTTTTTTTACATCAAAAATGAAAGACGGCGATAATAAATTTAATTAATGTCAACAGCAATATGTATTACAAATTCAATAATGCCTGTCACAAGGTTTGTAGCTGACCAGGAAACTTTAAAATAACCTTGGAATTGTGGCCCCTAACATGAGCCTTTTTTTTGTTTTTTTTTAACCTTGGAAAAGACATACTGGCCATGAAGAACCTGGAAATTTGACTGCTGCGATGAGATCGTCAGAAGTCCTGCAAATTTACGGCAGTTAGGCCTTTTTTTGGGGCCATTTGGCTAGTATTGGCTACTTTCGGGTATGGGGGCAGATGATTATCAGCCATTTTCAGCTGAAATGGATTGTTAAAGGCTAGGGAAAGGCGGGCTAAAAAAAAAAAACACTATGCCAAGCGCCGCGACAGATTGGAAATAATAAAAGCAGAAGGCATGGTACCAGGAAGGAGAGTCAGGGCCGAATAACACGAAGATGGGCACATGATATAAGTAACTCCTTGAGTATGAAAGTACATGAGGCCGGAGAGCTGGCGAGAGACCGAGTTTCTTTCAGGCAGACCGGGATGAGAGCGACATTCTGCAAATGACCTGCTTCATGGTGAGGATGATATCTGTGCTGTATAACATTTGTTACATAGATAGTTATATATGCCAAACATAGTGTTTTAATTCAAGAATGCATGTTAATAGTGCAATTTCTTCTATAACCAACAAAACATATTAGCAGTAAATTGTTGTATAACTAACAAAAAATTATAATAATTGTAACATAAATAAAATGTGTTACCAGTAATACATGTTACGTAGCCATCAAGCACTATATGCATGTTGACAGTAACATTTGTCATATGTTAATAACCAGTCATACATATTAACTCCCCTGTGGTGCTTCTTGAGCCCCATTGTGTACAAATAAGAATAGACCTACTACCTCCCCAACCGGCATGTTGCACAAATTGTGAGCTTTATTTGAAGTCAGGAGTTTATCTGACCTAGTAGCAAGAATGAACTGCACACAAATAAGCCAGTAAAACGGATGTACACAAGCTCAGGCCCTGGCACAAATCCAAATGGATGAACAGCCATGACTTTCTGTCAAAGCTTACAACCGGTGAACAAAGAAGAAGATACACGCTAACAGTAAAATTTGTGACATAGTCAATGACGCTCAGTAGCCCCCAACACTATAGAATAATCTAAGCCAGTGTTAAGACTATGACCAATGATAAACTCAGTGTGTTAACGCGCATATTTATAATATAATTCACACATACAAGTATGCTAGGTCAGTATGTTTTTTGTGTGTGTTCAGATAAAAAAAAAATTATTTCTAATCACCCTTACCATCATTATGGGCCGTGATTCCATGTCTCTGAAGCACACTGGAATACTGTTGCTTGGAAAGATAGAAAGGTGCCAAAGACAGGTTTGCAGACTTTTAAAGGCTCTGCCATTAACTCTTCATGATTTCTAAACCCAACGCTAAGCAGATATGTTTTATACCCCCTTATTTAGTTCAAAAAAAGTTACTTGCGTATACTTTATAGGATGTTGCAGAACCAACCCCAACATTTTTTGGTTGTTGTGGCTTTCTAGGCAAATTTTATGTTCAGTAGTTTGCCATTACCTCTGAACAGTCAGCTCTTGGTACCACTATTGAAACCAACGCAAATCAAACCGTCTGCAGCTGGGATCGAACCCTGCATAACAAAGCTCATTCGCAGAGCCTAAGCCACAGTACTTCTACAAAAACCCTTTCCATTTAAGGAAAAGCTGTAACCGCCTTCTCCAAGACAACACTATGTGGGTCTGCTGCTACTTGTACACTTCCTCATCCTTCTCCTCCTCCTTCAGTTTGCTGCTTGAAGGTTTGACCACGCTCAGATTTAAAAAAATCTTAGTCGAGATGCCAAACCTCCCCATGTGGGTATCTGGACTCTGTTTTGGAGGACAAAGAATAGGCCCACTGTTGCCCTATCAAGCATGTAATAGGAGGTGACTAAGGATGTTTTCTTCAAAACTGGAGTGCATCCGCCTGAGAGGCAAGGACAACAGTCTGCATACAAATAAGGTATATATATGGACGTGCATGCAAAGTTCTTTGATTAAGATCAAAGTCCAAGAGTGGGTGAACAATCAGAATTTTACAGAAGAAGATGGATGGCAAACTCCAGATACCCTCTTCAATCTCTTAAGTTATAATCTGGTGGAAAAGTAGGGGGGGGGGGGTTCTGCCTGTACCGGTCACTCCAGCCTGTTGTAACCGACAGTACTATGCTGGCTATTTTGATGTAGTTCTTGTCCACAGTTAACGAGGATTTATGCTGTATTAAATACAGCTTTTATCTGCACATAGAGTGGGGAACTAATCAAGGAAAGAATCAGCAACAATTATCCTGTCTTCCATCTGTATGTCAGTCCTGCAACCTGAAGATTTGATGACTCTGGTATTTACACCCGGAATGAGGTGCATGAGTGCGCCCTGTCTGCCCTGGAGTACAAGTTGCAACATAACTAACGGGAGCCTCATTATAAATGTTTAAGCGAATAAAGAAGTCTATTAGTACGCCTCTTTTTTAGATCCCTGTAACAGCTTTAAATATTCAGTTATCCTTCCAGATTTGGTTTCTAGTTTTAAAAACATAAAATAGCTTCATCACACGGGCGTAGTTTCCAGAAGTGGCGGTAAGAAATGTGTTCGTAATGGTGCTAATTCTACCTTTGAGGTCGATGGTTTGTTGGGGTACTGCAGCACTGGATTAGTTGCCCCTAACTGTTTCTGATGAGGGTTATTTGGCATCGTTCTAAACGGGATTTGACTGCTTGGTCCTGGAGACATTGTTCTGAACGAACTTGGGTAGGCTTGTCGTGACACTGGCGTTACGAAAGACGAATCTGAATGATTTAGATAGTTAGGAACAGCCACGAGTATTGAACTCTGGGATTCGATGGATTGACGTGTCTGTGGGCCAAAGATACGCCTGCTGTCACTTGATGATCCACTTTGTGGCGTATCCGCTCTTGAAGAGCCAGTGCTGCTTCGGGAGAGAGCGTCTACACGACCTCTGCTTTGCTTTTGTGAGCGGAGTGGCAGGCAATGGAAAAAGCGAAGAGCTTTGTTCCTGGAGACGATGACAAGAATGGTGCCTATGACCGCAAGCCCCGCGCCGGCTACAGACATGCTGTAGGACCACGAGAGAGAATCTGGGTTCGGATGTAGGCTCCCAAACACAATAACACCAACGACGTGGAAAATAGCTGTGAACAGAGGGACATATTTATAGCAAAATACATTAACAGACTGAGAAAGTGGATGTTAATTAAAAAAAAAAAAAAAACGTCTACGAGGAGTGTCATGAATGTCAAAACTTAAATCAACAAAAGCTGTAAAAAATAAAAAATAAGTTACTGAGAGGGATCATTTTGAATCTGTTGTGTCATCACAGGTCATATAGAACCTAGTTATTTATTGGGCAGATCATCCTCATTGCACATAGAAACATTCAGTACAAAAGTGTTGGCATCTCCTCAGTAAATCACACAGCATCAAGTTGTTGACAACACCCGTTCTGTGTTGGTTTATTATTCTCAACTGGCTTTCTGCACAGTGCTCTTGTCTGGCAACATCCCTTTTAACTTGTTGCTTTTGCATTTTGATCATGGTTGACATTCACAGTCATCCCTTGGTTCTCGCAAACGTCTTACTCCTAGTTGAGCATTCAATATATTAGCCTGGCAAATGGCTCGTCCATCACCCACAGTAGTCCTTGAACACTTCCATTCCCTTCTATCACGTGCAACCTCTCGATATCATGGATGGAATCATTATCCAACTCCCTTGACCTCCGTCAACGCAATTCATCTCATGTTTTCTCTTTGACGCCCTCGTTTGTTCGATTCATTTGTTCCCTATTTCAGTACTTGTTTGAGGATTCTCTGCCCATTCCTCCCCGTGATGTACCCAGTGTATTATTATCTTCCCAGTCTTATAATTGATGATACAAGTGGTTGTCCAGATATTTATCTGATTTCTTCACATGTCTTGATTTCATCCCATTCAATGTGCTCCCCAGGCATGTACTTTCGAACGCATTCAGCTTTCGTTCCATGTCTGTTGTTGTTCTCCAAAGTTCACCGACGTATCTGAAAATGTAAATAACATTTTGGAAATGGGAAAGGCGGGCACTGATGCAATGTTTGCCCTAAGGCAAATCAGTGACAAGACAATTGAGTACAGTAACCAAATAGGTCATGAAAAGTCATTTGACAGAGTGAACAATGAAATACTTTGGAGTGTTCTTGAAAACGTTGGAGTGGGTACATTGTTTGATAATAGCAAAGTCATGTATCGTGGAAGGAAAAGTGCCACAAGAACAAGAGCTAGAACCACAGTGTTTCTGAAACATCAGGAGTGAGACAAGGATGTGTTATATCACCCACGCTCTTCACGATTTATACGGACTTAATCAACAAAACAAAGAAACAGCAGCAACAAGTAACGACCAATCAAACGGATTAGGCGAACTGCTCATTGCCAACGATCACTGCATATCCCGCAGTAAAACCCAACAACATGAACATATCAACCCACTCCACATTAGCTGTCTCAAAAAAACCAAGTAGAGTGAACATCTGAAAAATAGAAATCATGAACAAAATATGGGAATTCCCAGCGGTTACAACGTAGGGGCATCGTGCAGGAGACCTGGGTTCGACCCCCAGCAAGGCGATGGAGTTTTTATGTAGGAGGCAAAATTAAACATCCTAACCTGCACAGTCTGTGGCCTCAGCACTAGCCAAGCGGCCCCAAATACTCAGGCTCAAGACCCCCTGTCCACAACGCCATAAAAAAATGGCAACACAGATAGTAGTGACAGTGTATTTAAATGTGCCGAAAAGAAAAAAAAATTACCGTAAACTGCACACTTGATTTACAGTACACAGCAGTACTCACTTCCAAAGGTGTATCCGGCTTCAAATATTCGAGTTCTGTAATCGGTGGATTTCTTTTTCTTGGCCCAAAAAACGAAGAAGTGTATAACTGGAGCTAGGGTGTAGATAATCGTTGCTAGTATCTGCAGAGCTTGGGTCGCCGTATGGTAGTCTGGCAACACGTTGAAACATTTATGATCAGTTATAAAGTGTGCTTGTCTGGGTTAATGTGCTGCTAAGGATGCAGTTAGTAGTCAATATATGAGGTGAAGGAAATAATGTTAACATTTGTTTAACTGTCACTGTTTGGTTGCGAATTTATTTGTATTGATTGTCCCTGACAGGAATGACACACGCAAGCACGCACAAACGGGGGAGGGGGGGGGGGGGTGGAGAAATCAGAAAGTCGTTGCAACCTTTCCGTCTTTTTTTAGACCATAATTTTATAATGTGCTATAAGGAGACATTTCTGTCTGTCTGTCTGTCTGTCTGTCTGTCTGTCTGTCTGTCTGTCTGTCTGTCTGTCTGTCTGTCTGTCTGTCTGTCTGTCTGTCTGTCTGTCTGTCTGTCTGTCTGTCTGTCTGTCTGTCTGTCTGTCTGTCTATGGACCCCTTATGCTCGTTGCACCCCCGGGCAAGTGCCCAGCATGCCCATGCGTTAAGACGGCCCTGAACACCCAGCACAAAACTCACCTGGCAAACTGCTCTGCTGGTGAGGGTGACATTGTCCATGCTCGCATTTATTCCACAGACCGTAGTAACTGTACTTGTCCTTATGCCAGTGATCCGTGGCAAATCCCAGAAGAAACAGCAGAGCTGATGTCAAAGTGCAAGCGATGCCAACGCGGAAAACCCACAGAAATATGTCAGATATATCCTCCTGTGTCTGTGGTGTTGGCTTTGGCATGGTCGAAATGTCTTGTGTGTACTAACCAACAAAAGCATGCTTTGATAGTCTTTAATAATTGTTTCGGTGCGCTGGCTGAAGTTTTTGGTCGTGGAGGTAACCCGAGTCTGCACTTTAATGAAGTGAACTTTTCCACTTCAAGATCTGAAAAAAAAGACAAATATATAAAATTACAGTTGTAAGTGAAAAAGGGTTGTTTAACTGGATAACACATAGCTAAAAAAAAAACACACACACAAACACACACACACACACCACACACACACCACACACACACACCACACACACACACACACCACACACACACACACCACACACACACACCACACCACACACACAAACACACACCACACACACACACACACCACACACACACACCTCACACGCACACACATACACACACACACGCACACACACACACACACGCACGCACTTGTGCGCACGCACGCACACACACACACACACAAACCAATAATGAATATTTGACAGACTGAACTAACTACCCTGGCGATATATTCAAAGCTTCTGCAACGAAAGTCGGGTCAGTGGCTTAGGCGTTGCGAACGCGCTTCGTAATGCCGGGGTGCCGGGTTCGACCGCAGCCGAGCGCCTTGCGTTGGTTTTGACAGTGGTATCGAGAAGCTGACCGTCCAAAAAGCAATGGCAAACTATTAGACGTAAATTTGCCTTGAAAAACAACAACAGCCAAAAAAATACTGGGGTTGGTTCTGCAGTGTCCCGTAAAGGATACGCAACTAACTTGACCTCTCTGCAACGGAAACTGGTCTCTTTTCATAGCATGCATGCCCGGCTCTCTAGCGTAGTTGGCTAAACCGGATTGCGCGGTGACCGGGTGACGAACTCCTTGTGGTCCGGGTTCACTCCCGAGGGTAGGCAGAAAAGCCTCATTTCTCCCAGATTTACGGTATTTACAATGGAATCAAGGCAGAAAGGTTGCAATATCCACAATACCGAGCCTAAGGGTTAACAACTCATGGCTTCTGGATACTAAAATAAACAAACAAACAAACAAACAGAGCATGCATCGCTCTCCCGGCAGATGAGTACTTGTTAGTTTTCTGTCATGGAAATGTTTCTGTGAGTCTAGTGTCGGCTCGCCGGTGGTTGCTTTTAGTTTACGATGGCCGGTTTATTGCCGTATCGGCGACTGTCACACGAGATTGTGTTTTTGAACATCCGATCTTATTCATTTCCCAACCCCCTCCTCTCTTCCCCTATATATATATATATATATATATATATATATATATATATATATATATATATATATATATATATATATATATATATATATATATATATATATATATATATATTGCAAGTTTACAACTTCAGTTGAATCTAATTTGTTACATGTTTTAAAACAGCGTAAAACGTTGCTAGTTAGTCTTGTATACGACGCCGACCACGCCAGCACTCGTATTTAGAGTAAGATTTCCCACAAGGTGAAACTTTGAGTCACGTTTGGGACATTTCCCAGTACTCTTTGTATGCCCCTGAGCGGACGACAGTTTAAAAAAAAAATCCGTTTCGGTGGATGTTTGAACAGATTACGACCAAGCTGACGGGCAAACCTGCTGGCCACTGGGCTACAGTGGCGTCGTTTTTTTTTTTTTTTGACACAGACCCTATACAATTGTGTACAATTGTGGCAAGCAGATTAATGTGGTCAGGTTGACATGTAGTATATACAACCAATTACCTGTAATCAGTGGCGTACCTGGGGGATGGCAGATGCACTGGGCGCCATTTGAAGGGGTTGGAACGTTTGGGGTGGGAGGGGGGGGGTGTTTTAAGTGCCAGCGTCTCATCTCGAGGGACCACAACGATTTTATTCTGTCGAAGAGGGCTAGAAGGCCGTCAGCCTCCAAAATTGTGAACACTCATACCCCATCAGCACCGCTTATTTTAATTTAAACCCAAAAACATGTAGTCAGACAAAGTCATATGTTTTGTAACCAACAGTATACAGTCTTCTTTTTCTTCTTCTTCTCTTCCACCTTGTACCTCAGCGAAGTGTCGGGGGGGGGGGGGGGGGGGGGGGGGGGGGGGGGGGGGGGGGGGGGGGGGGGGGGGGGGGGGGGGGGGGGGGGGGGGGGGGCGGGGGGGAGATGTAACATTCGCTGATAAGCTCTGTGAAGAGCACTATAAAGACTAATGTTCATTTCTGTAAGGCTGTTCTTAATGCCATCACTGCATATTTTCTGAGGTCTTCCACTCGCTCTATACCTGCTGTAACGTTTTAGTAGTACCAGGGCATTCTTGGTAGGTGTCCAAACCACTTCATTTGTTGTTCTTTGATGATCTGTCACAGTACACAGTACATGTGGTTTATAAGACTGTATAATTTTTGGAGTAAAGGTATACTGTCACGGTTATCTTTTGTTCGAAACATACTATTGGCCTACACTTGACTATTTTACAGTCTTTAAAAGTAGACCAAATCTGAGCAATGGCTAATGCAATAATTTTCTGACTTCCCTGTCATGGGTGCCAAGTACCCTAGCTACGCCTTTGCCTGAAATCAGACGAATACGAACGCCCTGCATGCCGACTCCAACGTTCCCCCTAATGTGTGTGCTTAGTTTAATGTATTTCATAATTAATAAATGCTTAGAGATACAACTAACACGTTTACACAACATTAATATCTGTTCCACAATGCCGCTTTATTTAACTGAACTGCTTTAACACTGTTGAATGACGCATGTCGTGTCTTATCTACTGACGTATTTCAATAGTACGGTATACGTGCACTCATCAGTGGCAAATAGAGCTTAACGTCAAATTAAATAATAGTGTTCAGGTTTCTGTTAGCGACCACGGTTGTGCTACTGCACCCCCGTGTGGGATCCGGGGCCATAATGTGAGGTAAACAAGAATAGACCCACTGCCTTCCAATCAAGCATGTCGTTGAAGTCGACTAAATGGGGGAGGGGGTGGCGGGAGGGGGGGGGTAACCTTTGAAGTCGGAGTACACCTGCCCAAGAGGCAAGGAGTCTGCATTCAAAAAGGCCAGATCAGTGAAATGGATGTACACGCAACACTCAGTTTCTAGAATAAGACTTAAGTCCGGAGGTGGACGAACCATAACTTTCTTTTCCGGATTTTTACAACCGGTAAATACAAAGAAGAAGAACTGGAAGAAGAAGAAGAAGAAGAAGAAGAAGAAGAAGAAGAAGAAGAAGAAGAAGAAGAAGAAGAAGAAGAAGAAGAAGAAGAAGAAGAAGAAGAAGAAGAAGAAGAAGAAGAAGAAGAAAAAGAAGAAGAAGAAGAAAAAGAAGAAGAAGAAAAAGAAGAAGAAGATGAAAAAGAAGGAGAATAGGAATAAGAAGAAGAGCACGAAGGGGGAGAAAAAGAGGAGAGAGAGGAAGAAGAAGAAGACGAAGTGGTAGTAGTAGTAGCAGTAGTAGTAGTAGTAGCAGTAGTAGTAGTAGTACCAGTGGTAATAGTGGTGGTGGTAGTAATAGTAGTAGTAGTAGTAGCAGCAGTAGTAGTACTAGTAGTAGTAGTAGTAGTAGTAGTAGTAGTAGTAGTAGTAGTAGTAGTACTAGTAGTAGTACTAGTAGTAGTAGTAGTAGTAGTAGTAGTAGTAGTAGTAGTAGTAGTAGTAGTAGTAGTAGCAGTAGTAGTACTAGTAGTAGTAGTAGTAGTAGTAGTAGTAGTAGTAGTAGTAGTAGTAGTAGTAGTAGTAGTAGTACTAGTAGTAGTACTAGTAGTAGTAGTAGTAGTAGTAGTAGTAGTAGTAGTAGTAGTAGTAGTAGTAGTAGTAGTAGTAGTTGTTGTTGTTGTTGTTGTAGTGCTTAACATAGGCAAATGCGATGAGCAAACAGCGTACAGGCCTGTGGAGACGATAATGAGGAAGTTAGAAGGACTGTGGGGACGAGTAGGCGAAATTGACCTGATTAATGTGATCAGGAGCAAGGTTCTCTGTGACAGGGGGTTGCTGGGCCGTGAATCCCCTCCCCCCGAAGATGCGAGCTTTAACTCTAAAATTCCTACTTTGAGGTTCAAACCACGCTAGCGCTAAAAATGAGTGCCGTATCCACAACGGAGGTTGGCTACAGTGCAGCCTCTGCTGACTTTAGGTGAGGTCCAGTCTCTTTCACGGTGCTACTCTCGTACCACTGACCGAAATGTACGAGAGGGTTTGAGAAAATAAGCAGTCAGAAATTGAATCCCAGTACTGGAGGATCATGAAGATGTTGAACGCAATCACTAACCTCTCAGAAAAGGAGCCGCAAATGTCATAAAAGGCCTCCGTGAAAGGTTTGTGTAGAGATCATCACCCCGAAGTATTCTGCACAGGGACTGTATTGAAGAGACCTCCTCCCTTATCGAATAGCAGAGAGCAATGGGGTGCGCGGGCCGGGTACTGGTGTTTGCCATCCGAGTACTAACAGGATGTAACCAGGTCATGATTCAACACAAGCCTGCTTGGAATGACTGGGATTAGGCCAGATTGATACTGTTTTATTGTGTAGGTGGCGGTCTAGTGAGAGGTCAGCAGCTCCTGTAAATCGCAAGAACCCTCACGAATCACAGAAAGCGGTAGAACCAGGAGATGAAAGAAAATATGACGATGATGATGATGACGATGATGATGATGATAATAATGATGAAAAAAATTATAATGATGATACTGATGATGATAATGATGATGATGATGATGATGATGATGAAGTGAACTTGATTAAAAGTAACAACTATGTAGCTATTGTAGCAAATAATAATAATAATTAGTAGAAGTTGTAGCTATTGTTGCTAAAGCTAAAGAAAAAGAAGTGGTTTTTTTTTTTTAAATTCGTGACATAAACGTATGATTTTGTTCTGTTGTATCTAGTTTGTTGTCTCTTTTTTTCTCCCCCCCCCCCCCTTTTTTTTCCACACACCATTAAATAATTTAACCTAGCTAGTTAATTACGTATCGACCGTTATCATTATCCATTATTGTTCTCAAGTAAAATCAAATAACGCCA